TGTTGCGAAAATGCGAGGCGAATGTCAGATGAAAGAGAGAAGCCGATAACTAGTACGTTCTAGAAACGATAAAACAAGAACCTTCCATAGCGAACAATTCGATGCTTCTACGCTTTCGTCTGCGAGCAGCCGACTGCTATATAAGGGGACACTCAGCTGCCAAGTTAAGTTAGTTACAAAGTGAACTGGTTGGTGTTAACATCAGTAAAGTCGTGAAGTAAACGCGTTAGGAATTCCATTTAAGTAGAGTAAATGGTGAAGGTTTATGAAAGTGATTGTAGCTAGTTAAGTGTCTTGTAATTGAATTGTGAATTACGGAGTAAATAAAGGACATTAGATAAAATCTTTATAACGAAAGAAACTGCAAATTAAGTTGGCGAGTTTTATTTAACAATCCAAATTTGATTTTTTTTTTTTTTGGGTCATGGTTAGTATAGTAAAGACCATGTTGCTAAGAACTTTTCCATGCGGCTATAGTTATGATGTGTTTCCTCCATAAGAATTATTGCGTTGTGGAATTATTCTGACATTCAATTGTCAACTTGACGTTTGTTAGTATTTTCGCCTGTTTGTTCTGAACGTGTTTTTTGTAAAAACACATGGTGCTCAACTGGATATAATCAAGCATATTGCTATTTATATTATAAAAAGTTAATATAAAATGTCTGAGGTGTTTCATCGGCCAGGGCCGTTAAAACAAACCAACAAAGCACATAAAACCGGTCGGCATCGATCCAAAGGAGCTATAGAGAATGCATTAAAAGGCCGAGTTTCCCTTAAAACGGTTTCGCATAAACATAAACAGGAGCAACGAAGGGAACAGCGTAGGCATCAAATGAATCAAGTATATTAAAAACAAGCATTACCGAAATATTTAAATATCATTGGTTTTTCTTTATTTACACAGCTGCGTAAGAAGAAACGCGAAGAAGCCAGATTAGAAAAATTACAGCTGGGGTCTCAAAATACTGCCCCATTTATGGTATGCATATTGCCAATGCATTGTCAAATCGATCCGAGATCAGCCTTAGCCATTTTAGAAAATTGTGATGAAGAAGCTGTAATTCAAAAAACTGAAACTGGTGTAACTTATATAAATTTACCGCGGTTCAAGCAACGCTTCTCTTTTATTATCCCACCAGTAGGTCGAGGCAATGACATAGAAGTATTAGATTATTTAAAAGCATGTGACACCACACTACTTTTAACTTCTGCCGCAATGGGAGAAGATGATATATTTGATCGCTGGGGTCATCGAATTTTCAATATGATGTCAGCTCAGGGTATACCCACACCAATTGTTGCGCTAATGGATTTAGAGTCTATTAATCCTAAAAAGCGGGGCGATATTAAGGCGTCTGTCCAGAAATTCATATCGAAGGTGCTGCCAAAGGAAAAAGTTATGCAGCTCGATACTAATGCTGAAGGCCTCAATGTTATGCGTCGCATTGGAGGTCAAAAGCAGAAAAGTCTTCCAAATAAAACTAATAGACCACATTTATTTTCTGATAAAATTTCAATTGAATCACAGTTAAGTCAATGCGATAACAACGTTACTTTGAAAGTAACTGGATTTTTACGTGGCGCGCCCCTTAACGAAAACTCACTTGTTCATATCCCTGGTTTGGGAGATTTTCAAATGCAGCAAATAGTTTCAACGCCAGATTCTTTTAAATTAAATAACAATCCAGATGTTCAGCAAAACCAAGTACGAGTAGCCGATTCACAAAAACAAACATCATTACAGAAAGAGAACATACCGGATATTATGGATGCAGAGCAGACATGGCCGACCGAAGAAGAAATTGAAGCCGCACAGCAGGAAACGAAGAAAACTAAGCTGGTCAAACGTGTACCAAAAGGATGGAGTTCATACCAAGCTGCATGGATACCTGATTTTGAGGCTGTTGAATCAAAAGATAACGAAGTTGATAATGATGGCAATGACGTGATTGAGGACGATGACGATGATGAAAATGAAGATGAAGATGAAGATGACGACGATGAATTCATGTCATGTGATAATCAATCCTTCGACGGTGAAGTGAAAAAACCGGAATCTGACACTGAAGAATACGTAGATACCGCATCAATGTCAGATGCTGCAATAAATGATGAAAAATATGATCTTCAAATGGACTTTCATGAAGAACGTGAAACAATGAAAAAGATTAAAGAAGCGCGTGTTGATGAATTATGGCCTGATGAAATTGATACTCCACTCGATATAGAAGCGAGGGACCGGTTCCAAAAATATCGGGGCCTTGAATCCTTTAGGTAATCCATTCAAATCTTTAAAATACTTATGTACGCAAAATATATTATATTATAAGTAAAATTTTAGAACATCACCATGGGATGTCAAGGAAAATTTACCTTATGATTATGCACGCATTTATCAGTTCCAAAACTTTGATCGCACAAAACGTAGAATCATATCGGAATCTAAGGATGTCGAAGGATTTCAGGTATAATCTAAAATTTAACGTATCTTTATTTAACAAGATTTAAATTATATTATTTCTTAAATAGCATGGTGCCTACATAACCATATACATCATTAATGTGCCCAATACAAAGTGGCAGGCTTATATATCGGCTCGTCAAACTTCTGGTGTAGTAATTTATGGCCTACTTCCACATGAACATCAGATGTCAGTTGTGAATGTGGTTCTGAAGCGGCTACCTGATTCAGAGTCCCCGATTAAGTCAAAAGAGACTTTAATCATACAGTGTGGTTATCGGCGATTTGTTGTAAATCCCATATTTAGTCAACACACCAATGGAGATAAACATAAAGTAAAGCATTACGAGGGAAATATTATGATACTTATTAACATAATTTGTTTTATATTGCAGTATGAACGTTACTTCCGTCCACACACAACTGTTTGTGCAACTTTTTATGCTCCGATACAATTTCCGCCAGCTCCTGTTTTGGCTTTCAAGGTAAATCCTGATTCTACTTTAGCTCTGGTTGCACGCGGTTGCTTGCTCTCCTGCAATCCCGATCGTGTGGTATTGAAACGCATTGTCTTGAGCGGTCATCCAATGAGAATCAACCGCAAGTCAGCAACTGTACGTTATATGTTCTTTAATAAGGAAGATGTCGATTATTTCAAACCAGTTAAGCTACGTACAAAATGTGGACGTCTAGGGCATATAAAGGAATCTTTGGGTACTCACGGACATATGAAATGCGTATTTGACGGTCAACTACGGTCATACGATACAGTTTTTATGTATTTATATAAGCGGGTGTATCCAAAATGGACATATGAAGATTGTTTGATACGTAGTGATAAAGATGAAGAAATACAGGAAGACGAAAAAATGGAATAATTCACTTCATAAAGGAATTCCAAAAAAAAAATTATGTTTTGATGGTTCAAGTTCTATGTACTGTTGAAAACTGTCTTCATATTACATATTTAAAAAAAAAATTCGCAATAAACGTCTTTTCTGCATACTTTTGGGAATAGTGGTGTTGTCTCATGTGTGCAATCATTACACGAAAAACAAATATTGGACATGTCGTTTTGTATGGGTTATGGATGGAAGACGGATGCGGCAAGTTCATTCATATTCTGGGATAGTGAATAATAGATAATAATTTAACACACATATATTCTCTGCTTTATGCCACCAGGCAAAATTATTTTCAACAAATCCTTGCTAAGAGTAATCTGCTAATTTAAATGGTGCCAGGTCGCCGAAAATGGGAAAGCCCGAATAAGCGGATTCAAAAAATTTCGTTACTAGAGGGCGCAGTGGGAGAATTGTATTTTCTATTGAACCCACAGAGGACGCCTTCGAAATGACATTTCTCTGACACACACATCAGAGAACGTAAATACATTTACGTTCTCTGCACACATTTCGTCCAAAAGACGGACGTGTCAATAGACAACGAAATGAATATTGCAGTTTTGTTCACGGTGCAGAATATTTTTTACATTCTTTTTAATTTTGACTAAAATTTATACAAATAGAACAAATATATTGCCCCGTCATATAGAGGAAATTAATTTCACGTGCTGTTAACTTGCGAGCTATTAGGCTACACTTAGGAGAGTAATCGAGAAAGCTAAGTAAAGATGGCGGGGCAGAAATTTCAGTACGATGAAAGTGGAGGAACATTTTATTATTTCCTTCTTTCCTTCCTGGCGTTGATACTTGTTCCAACAACTCTGTATTACTGGCCACGCAAAAAAAAGGAAGGTAGGTTCATAATTGTGCCTAATGATATTGTATCTTACCACCGTTTGGATTCTTTTATATATAAATATGTATATATATATATGTATGTATAAGAGAAATGATTGTTGGCTTAAACATACGTAAAATACATAATCGTCACAAGTTCAACCGAAATCTACCATAATAGTGTCGACACGTTCTATTAAGAAGTAATCGTGGCCGTTTTATGGTGAAAGCGGCGAATTACAATAACACCTTCAAAACAAATACCTCGTCAGCATCGATAAATGGAAAGCTAGGCGTATAATATAATGATAAAAGCCCGAGTTATGACTACTTGTCTAAGCTGACAATTGTCATTAATTTTTGGTTTACATTTCCTACATACATACATATATGTATGTAATTTGTATTTCTAACTTAGTTTCATTAAGGAAAATATTAATTAATACAAATATAAAATAACACAAAGCGAAAATTTATTCTACAACAGATGTAAATAAACTTAAGGAGGAATGTCAATGCCCGGATTGTATAAAGAAGAAATCTATTTTGGCATCTGCCGAGCCATATCGTATGCTGAAATCATTCCTGATTAAATTGTGTTTGGTATTGGGCTGGGCACTGCTTGTTTTACTTGCTTATCGCGTCTCGCAATTCGATTACGAAATGGCCAGTTTTGATCCATTCGAAATTCTGCAATTACCACCCACCGCCTCCATGGAAGAAATAAAGAAAACTTACCGTGAATTATCACGTGTATTGCATCCAGATAAGCCAACTGGTGATGAAAAATCATTTATGATGCTTCGTAAAGCTTACCAAGCACTCACCGACGAAACAGCCAAACAAAATTATGAGAAGTATGGCAATCCAGATGGTCCTGGGGCAATGTCCTTTGGTATAGCGTTGCCTTCATGGATTGTAGAAAAGGAAAACTCAGTTTGGGTACTTGGTCTATATGGTTTAGTATTTATGGTGGCCTTGCCCTCTGTGGTAGGCATGTGGTGGTATCGTTCTATACGCTTTTCTGGCGATAAAGTGCTTCTAGATACATCTCAAATGTATTTTTATTTCATACATAAAACGCCACACATGTTGCTAAAGCGCGCACTTATGATATTAGCTGCTAGTCTGGAGTTTGATAAGCGACACAATTCTCAGATCGTTGAGAGACAATCCGATAATGAAGAAGTACCAGCAGTAAGTATATTTAAAATTACAAATATTTCACAATTTTCAATGTCGTTAATCATTAATTTAGCTTATTCGACAATTGCCGAACTTGAATGAAAAGTGCAAGGAACATCCTCTGTGCCGCATGTACTCGATTAAGGCACGCGCAATATTACATGCGCACTTATCCCGTATTCCACTCAACTCTGAAACTTTGGAAAAGGATCGGCAATATATTGTGAAGAAGTGTCCATATCTTATTCAAGAGATGGTTTCCTGCGTTCACCAATTAGTTATGTTAGCGTATGCGAGACGAGTACCACGTCTACCGAGCATCGAAACTATAGAAAATTGTATGAAACTGTCTCCGATGATAATCCAAGGCTTATGGGAATACAAATCTCCTCTACTACAATTACCTCATCTCACTGAAGATCAACATCTATACTATATCAATAAGAAGAGACACATTAAGAATTTACAGCAATTCGCTCAGTTGAAACCCGAAGAAAGTAGGCAGCTATTAAAAAGCCTCTCTGATTTTGAGTATGAAAATGTGATGAAAGTTTTGGGAAAATTGCCCTTGATTGATTTTTCTATACGTTGCGAAGGTAAATGAATTTGCAAACATAATTTATGAAGCCAATTAACGTATTTGTTTTCTTAAAATACTGTAGTTATTGATGATGAAAACACAAATGTTGTGACTGCTGGCGCTATCGTCACAGTTACCGTTACGTTGATACGTAAAGACATGAAGACGTTATTTGGTGATGCAAAAGTACCAGAGAAGCAAGGCATTAAGTAAGTTCAATTTTTAAAAATTTTAACATAATTCGATATATTTTGCTGTTACATATTACATATATTTTTTTGGCGCTTTCGGCCGAGCTCCTCCTCCAGTTTATACTAAGCCTTATTTAATTTCAAAAATACTCTCCGAAGGGTTGACATTCCCTGCTTGGAGCTGACCGCAATTAGAAAATTGAACTTATTTCTAAATTAAAATTAACTTTCTATAATTGTTGAATATTGGTCGTACCAGGACTCGAACCCTGGCTTTGCGAGTGACAGTATTGTATTCGGTTAATACCGGCTATCATACATATGTATAAACACTTGTTTATTCGTTTGACGTTATTAGTAATGTTTTCATTACCTATATATTATTTGACAATCCTTTTTGATGTTTTTTTTTTAGGGACGATGATGATGCGACAGGCGGTGGTGATGATGAGGAGGCCTCAACTGCCGCAGCTGCAGTTCCAATAAAAAAAGTGTCTGCCTGGGGTAAACAGCGAAAAGGCAAAGGTGGTAAAGGTGGCAAAAAAGCAGGTAATAATCAGAAGCGTAAGGCACCTCCTGCGGCGAATGTAGCTCAAAATAAAGCTACTGTCTCCCTTTCGAATGCGGAAAGCCAAGACCATAATGAAGACTCTGAAACGGAAGCAGATGCCAGCGATTTGGAGGAAAAGGATTGCTCTGGCGATGAGTCTGATAATGACAAGCCGCAAAATAATAAGAGTGAGATATATGATGATGATGACGACGATGAAGCTTGGGAGAGGTTACAAGCCAAACTAAATAAACGCGAAAAGCTGGAAGGAAAATCGCGCATATCTCACACAGTACACTGTCCTTACTTCCCAGAAGAAAAACAAGAATACTGGTGGACGTATATCTGCGACCGTAAATCACGTTCGCTACTCACAGCGCCTTACCACGTTACAAGTCTGGTAGATAAGGAAGAGATTCAACTGAAATTTACAGCACCGCGTTGGCCGGGATTGTACACATTCACAGTATGCTTAAGATCGGGTATGTTTAAGACTTCGACAATACACGCTTGGAACCTAATTATTCACAATATTCAATTTCCTTCCAGATTCGTATCTTGGTATGGACCAACAACAAGAATTGAAACTCGATGTTAAGAAAGCGCCTGTCCCACCTACAGACCACCCACAATGGGATCTTAGTGAATCAGAGCCCGAAAACCATGAACAGCACGAAAACTCTAGCGATTTTACGACAGACAGTTCCGAGGATGAAGGCACTGATTAGGAACATTAGTATGCTAGTATATAATGTATTGCAATTGTATGATTTTACAATACTTATAGTTGATTTTTATATACAATATCTAACTTGAGTTTCATATTCCTTGCATTTTAGTTTGTTTTGAATTTATTTGGAAAAAGTAAGAATACATTTTTATAGAGGCATAATATGGTAATGGTTTTTAGCAAAAACCATACATACTTATTTGAAGAAGAAAGATTACTGTGAAAATTCCAATAAATTATAAAGCAATGGCATATTTTCCAAAAAGATAACTCATTTTTACTAGTTTTGCATTACTTATTAAATCCAATTATACAATTTGAAATCAGCATATAAAACTTAATACAAAATAAAAATGTTTAATAATACAAATTATTAAAAAATATTACAAATATTTGTAATGAACATTATTTAATATTAACCTTGTACGGGAATTGATTGGCCATCATTGGTGTAATCGAATGAAAAATCATAGATTTAATAAAACCATAGAAAAAATCCAAAAATATAAGAAAACATATGTATATTCCTTACTCCAACCAAACCTAAACATTAGTTACATATGAACATATGGTTTTGAAGCTATTTCGTTTGGCTTAGTTAGCAGCTGGCCCTTTCTCACCCTCAAGCAAGTCTTCCACATTGGAATTAGCAATGCGCTTTGATCTAGAAGAGTGTTCTCCAGCTTTGTCTTTTGGCGGTGATATTATTTCAGACTGTATATTAAAAAGTTCCAGAAATGATAAATAAATTATTACAAATATGTATGTGTGTTTAAAATTTAATACAGCAAACATAAAGACAATTAAAAGAAGATTTAAGCAGGTGTATTACACATAACCGTTGCTAAAAAGTGTTCCATGATTAAATTTACAAATAAATGGCGACTAACTAATGAAAAACTTTGTGAATATTCAAAACTTGGTTACCACTTAAAATATTTTTGGTGAAATGAAAATGAGTTTAATTACGATAATCCAATGTCAAGCATGATGTGGTTTTTCATCATTATTCATTAGCTGTTTCATCTTCTTCGCTAGAGCTTTCCTCCTCATCTCCTCTAGATAGTTTTGCATCTATTTCCTTGTCTACAAATCTTTCCGTTGACTCAGTTTTCGATTCTTGCTTTTCTACTCCGTTATGACTTTCTGGTCTCTTTTCTTCCGATATTTTATCGACACTTCTATTTTCTTCCTTACTTTCAGTATCGACACTATCCTCTTTCTGACCATTAGCACTTTTAGCTTCTTCTTTATCAACCTCTTTTTCCGGTTCCTCTTTTTCTTTGTCGACATCTTGCTCCTCTTCTTTTTTTTCTTTCGCGTCATTTTCTTTTTTTAAATATTCTGAAACTTCAGTCACATCCGAGTTTTCCTCTTCGTATTCCTTTGTGTCTTCTATTTCTTTGTCTGCTTTTTCCTCATTTTCCTCTTCAGCAGCACTGGTTCCTTCCAGAGTCATTTCAATCTTTAAATCGTTTTCCGCAGACTTTTCATCTTCAGATTTCTCCTCACTATCTGTGTCTTCATGCGTTCTCCTTTCAAATGTAGATTTATTTTCAGCTTCCTCAGAGAGAATATCTCCCGATGCAGATTTGTCTTCAGTTTCTTCATTGGTTTTTTCTAGTGTTTTGAATTTTTATACTTGTTTAATTTGTTTATTCAAGTAATTTAAACTCCACCGTAATACCGTTTCATTTACCTTGCGCTTGAACCGTTTCCGATTTCTCCGTCTGATTTTCTTTCGTTACCTTTTCCGAATTATCCTCTTCGTCGATTTTGGTATCTGCCTTTTCCGTCTAATATGAATGTTTCACGTTTTCAAAATTGGTTTTATTGTTGGGGGATACAAATCAGCATGTGGGATATATGTATACGTGTACAAATGTTAAGTTATACAAAGTGTTAAAAATGGAAAATATTTTCTATGTATCGCAGAATCATGCAGTTAGCAAAGCAATAGGAGTACGAAGTGAATCATCCGACACATACCTCGTCTGAGACTTCGTTATTATTTTGTTTTGCCTCGCTACCAGTAGGTTTTGAGGATTCGTCCGTTTGCTCCGTTTGTTCGGTTTCTTCGGGCTCTTCTTCACCTTGGATATTAGGTTATAAATGAAATCAATAATACCTCCAGGGGAAATAGGATCTGTTTTACCTTTGTCAGATGTAGCTTCTTTATGATCTTCGCTCGTTTCGCTTTCCTCATTCGCTTCCTCCTTTTGTTTCTCATTCTCTGCTTCATTCTTTAAATTTATAATTTTTTTAGTTTCATTTTCTAAGCAACTGATCAGCGGTTTTTAATTAGCATTGCGAGCTCTTCTTTTAGCAGTATTAATTTTTCTCTTGTTTACTTAGGTTAGGAAGCACTCAGAAATAAGCTGAAATTGAAAGTGGATCTTCGAAAGCGCATAAAACTTACAGATTTTTTGCCATTTATATTTCCAGATTGAGCGGGCGGCCTACATTCAACAATGGTTAGTGTAAATGTCCCTATACTTATACTACATTTAGCACCTAAATGAACTGCGTATAAAGGCATATTACATTTGTTCAACTTGATTGAGGTAGAAATAAGCATATATATAATAAAACTATGTTTTCTAATTGCAATCGCCCCTCGGCAGGAAATGTCAACCCCTCTGAGTGTATTTTTGACATGAATTAAAGCTCGTCATAAAAAACCATCAGCCGTTCGGAGTCGGCTTAGTATAAACTGTAGGTCCTTCCATTTGTTGGAAAAATATCAAGACAAAAAACCACAAATTGGAGGAGGAGCTCGGCGGAAAATAGTTTCAGCGGTTACAAAGCACCAACTTTATATATATAATAAAACTATAGGATGCACTTTAGGCTGGAACTATAAATGAACAAAGTCGAATGTTGTTCAAATTAAAAAAAAAAATAGAAAGGCATCATATTTGCACTTCCAGAGGTTAATTTCCCAACAGATGCGTTTTTTTTTTTAAATTGGAGGGACCTACAGTGTATTCTAAACCGTCTCCGAACGGCCAATAGAATTTTATGAAGAAATGTTAGAAATGCACTCGGACGGAGGACCTGACATTTCCTGCCTACGGGCGACCGTAATTAGAAAAAAAAAGTTTATATAATTAGAAAATAGCAAACGTTTTATCAAAAGCTGTAGAAGGACTCTACCAGAAGGGGACCACTTGAGTTCTTTATTGAAGTCTGAAGTTATTTATCATATCATGATCTTTATAATTTCAATTGGCTAATAATATTTATTTTTCGAGCTCAACTTAGAAACTCAAACAATTCAAACAATAATAATTATTGTGAGCGCAAAAATATCGCTTACAAAATAGTTACAATTTATTTGCTCAAAATATCGCTCATTCTCGGATAACACATTTTTCAACAATTCTGTTATCAATATTTCCGAAATTTTATTCGTCTGAGCGGAAAAATAATTATCAATAAATAATGATTATTTTCTAAGCGATATTTTTTCCCACTTCAAAAATAGTTATTATCAACTGAACAAAATTATAAAAATCAATAACAACTCTCACGACAGCTGGTTCTAAGCACTGGATTTTACCCAGATTTTATCCGGCCAGGAGCTGTCACCCTTTCGGCGACCTAACCTCGTTTACGCCAGCAGGTAGCACTACTTCGTTACTCAAACTTACTCACTTTTACTATACACGAATAGATATTTTCATTTTTATTAAAGCACAGTTATAAAAACATTGAAATTCGGTACGATTATCGAACTACCATTAATTTCATAAATTTATTATTTGTTTACTTGTTTTAAACTATAAAGATCCAAAATTAAAGTGTAGAATGTTTTAAAAAATAAATTCTGCATATTTTCAATTTTTTATGGACAGCTTATAACGTAAGATAGCCATATTCACATAGATCTTGTCGATAATTCACTATGCAAGTCGACTTGTGTCTTTTTTCATGAAATCAAGTACAAATGCTTCTTTAAACATAAAAATAAAATGAAATACATTTAAAATAGTAATTTCAAAAGAAATAAATACGCATGTCATGTTCAAGAATATTATTTATCATACTGTTAGTTTTTTGCAGCCTTTTGTTGCTCGTTAATTTTGCATTGATCGCTGTTGTTATTGTGTTTGCACAGAAAAATATTTTTACAATTCAAATAGAAATAAAAATTAAAAACCACATAAACTGAATTTAATATGTATGCATGTCAGTAAACTTTGCATTTAAGTTAGTATGCTATATAAGAGCATAAGAAAATTTCACGCTTGTTATTAGCAATTTCTAGCGCCTTTTCTAAAAAAAATATTATATTATATTATATAATTGCTTTTGCAGTATATATGACTTGCAGTAAACGTCGACTTTTCAAACCTCAGCATTCTTGGATTCACCATCACCGTTTGCACTCTCTCCAACGTCTACCTTGGCCTCACTGTCGGCAGCCACTTTATTGTCGCCTTCTTCACTATCGGCCTTGACTTCTACATTCTCTTTGTTTTCCTTGTTCTCATCGTCCGCGTTTATTTTAACTTCACCATTTTCCTGCTTCAGCTCGAGCTGAGCACTGGAAACGGCTGTTGTATCGGCTGGTGCTAATTTCAGAAATTGCTCCAATGTATCTATTTCGTTGGCCAAATCGAAGGCATCGTAATCTCCGCAATATTCTACTTCGTTGAATATTTGTGGTGGCAGTGGATGTCTTGGATCTGGGTCGCTTACTGTCGCTCCATTGCTAGTCGACTTTGTTTGCATAAGTTCCTTTTCACTTTCTTTGCCCGGTTCTGTTATGTCCACAATATCATACTTGATATTCTTGCTGTCAAGGATCATCAAAACGCGTTGCTGGCGTTTTTTAACCTAAAAGAAATTAAAATATAAACCTTAGCAGATACAGAATCTCAAATACGTATTATAATATGCAAATAGAAATTAAAAAAGCCTTCAAACAAGCTACTAAAACGGTCTTTTTTATTAGACACTCTTTTATCACGAATTTCAATTTAAATTGTAATATTTTTTTTCTTGGCGAATGAATCTATTAACATTTTCTTCGTAACGACTTGAGTGAAGGTTAGCATTCGTAACGACGCTCAAACAGGAAAACGTTGATAAAAACGATCGTCGACATCGTTTATCGCTCACCATCAAATTAAAAATTTCTCGCGAAAGATTCGAAACCAAAATAAATATCATAATTGGTAATCAGCTGCGTCCGAAAACATTCAAAGCTGGAATATTTTAATCCATCCGGACTACATCAGTTACTAGATCCCTCTTTGTGTCCTACAAGTCTGTTCTGGTCGTGAAACACTCTGTAAGTCGTCGTAGCTTTTCGTAGACTTTTCGAGCATGACCTTTGTGTTCAAATGCGTCTTGCTTCTCCCATTAGCTCACGTGTTGTGGTTGATGGCAAGGTTGGGAGGAAGGCAGTCTGTTTTCTCTCTACTGCAACACGTCAATTCGTCCCACAGTTCCCTTATACCGAGTTGCTGATCATTGCTCTCACAGAGCAGAAGTGCAACTAGAGTAGTAGCCGTTCAACTGTCTGTTGTGATTGCAGATGAAGTCAAGTAGTTTGATGAATTTTCAAATCATCATGATCCTTATTTCGTTTGCGGTGCTTGTCTTCAAAAGGGAGTATCTCATCCGAAGCGTGGCAAAACTTTTTTGGACCTGGTTTTTACGCAGGGGTCTCAAACCCAGCGTACAACCTCATTTGGCGAGTTTAGAGGATGCATAAATAAGTCGAAGTACCTTAACCGGACAGTCGAATTAGTTTCAAAAAATACACATACAGTGGCTCAATAAAGACCTCGGACATATATTCCAGTTATTAACATGCAACTTCAAGCTAGATTTTTTTTTAACCAATTGACATTAAGCTTTTTTGTTTTTTATATTTCTATAGAGTATCCAATAAGGATTTAAAAAATACCAATAACAAACAAATTAAATAGTTTATAGGTCTCCTATACCCTTGCTTCAAAAAATTAACATGTGGCATGCTAAAATTTTCGCCAAAAAAGAAGTCGGACATCTGGTAATATTACAGTTCCATGGCTTTTGAAAAAGGGTAATCCCACAATTAGTTTGTTTTTGTTCAAAAATACTTATGTATATAATCAAACGTAATAGCTTAGAATAAAATTTTAGTAGTTTTTTTTTTGGAAAAAAATTAGAAAAGTTCAAACATAGGTAGACAGCGTGGACAAAGCTCAATTGAAAGACATTTTGACCATTAAAGACAAATTCCAGTACTACCAAGCATAAAGCACTTCATGTCCGCCTATGGCTGATGTATAACTGTCCAAAAGTGCTTGAAACACCACCTCAATCTCCCCACATTCACGTAATTGAACATCTGTGGGCTCATTTGGAAAATGAACTTAAAATGCTTGTTATTAGAAATAAGAAAGACCTAGAAGCAGCTATTTCAGAAAAGTGGGGGAAAATAAATTCTTTAACATGGAAGAAGCAAATTGGATCTTTACCAAGAAGACTGAATGCTATCAGAAAAAGTAAAGGCTTGCCGCCGACCAAGTATTAAGAATATTTTGTTTCTCTTTAAATAATATTTTTAAATTCTATCTTATGTCATCAGTTTTGTTGAGTTGTTATGTTCATATTATTTTTATACGACCGAGTTGAATATAGTTTGTGGTTTTGGTTGTTTCAAAAGGTACACTTGAAGAATAGAAATATATGTTAAACAGAAAGACCTCGATTTGCATTTTATTATATATATATTTTTTTTTTGTTTGAAGTCATATAACCTGGGTGATCGAGTTCATTTTTGTACTTGATATTTCCAATTGGCGTCATACACGAAAAAGAAGAAACGAATGGCGCAGTGTTGTTCACTCGGCTACAATCGTGTGAGCGTTGACTACGCCAGTGAAGTAAGGAAGTCGTTATCATTAGTATACATATTTCTTAATAATACCGTATAATTCTTCATTCATTTAAATCCCCCTCATTTAAAAAATGGCTCTCTCAAACATTTCCCCAGGCGCGCCAAGAAATCCTTTTAAGTAAAAGCAGTGAAACTTTTTGTTAGATTATAAATTCATTCCTGCGTCGAAAGCATTTATTTTTGATACAAAATAATTATCAGTTTTCTTATTTTTTTTTTTTTTGCAAAAGCTTTGTATGTACTGTCCCATTACACATTACCCTATAGAAATAAAATTTTTCTTTTAATTTAGGCTTAATATAATCTCTCCGAACAACAAGGGTACATTATTTACATACCAATGCTTACACATGCATAATGATTAAGTAAAAATAAACAGTAAACTAAAAATTATGCAAAGTGATTCATACGATATATCATCAAACTCAACTAATATATTTTTTAAACCTACAAGAAATTGGAATAGAAAAATAAATAATATATATAATAGTTTTACAAAATTCTAGAAACCTGTATAAGTTAATAATTTTATTATGTAAAAAATAGCCAGCACAAATTATAAATTTCTTTCCAAAAATGATTATTACATGTGGAATAATTGTCTTATGTTAAGCATTAGTAAAAACCGGTTTATGTATATACAATATATATATGTATGTATATAGACATAAGATAAGTTAGCCCTCTAGTCGAACGAACTGTTCAATGCTTTGAACAATCAATCGCATATACATACATGTCCAACCAATTGCTCAAAATACTTATCCATATTTTATCTTTTATTTTGTAATTTTAATTATATTAAACGGTCCAAATTTAAAAATATTTTGAGGAAGAGTATGACAAAACCTGCGAAGAATTTTGTGTGGTACTACTTTTATACCATCTTTTAGAGAACCAACATTGATATTTCGAAAGAAATATATTTATAGTTCAAGTCATTCAAAGCGACCGTCAGGAATTGCCTATATTGCATGAATAAAAAATATATCGGACCTCTAAATTCAAAAAGTTATTCATAGTGGTATTAATTTTTACTGATTTTTTAATAATGAAATGTACGAATTACTACAACTTAACAGGTGGTATCTTCCAACAAATACCCAAAATTTGGCTAACACATCTTTAAAGTATGACGAACCGCACTAATACCTCTGCAACATTCGGTCATACAAAATGCTAGCGACAAACTTAATACCACTGTTCGCCCACCAGTTAACAAAACAAAAGTCTTTCATATGAATATCGCTCACATATCTACATAACACCTAAGTATATAATATATGAATGTATAATTTTCGATTTGGAGTTCATTGGATTTTCGTTCACTTGCATTTAGTGCCCTTTTGCGAGGCCACTAAAATCTTCATTAGCCCATCGCAATACGAAGCCGATGCCGGAACCAGATTGTACCTTTTTATTCACCCATTAATTTATTTTGCCGAGCTCTGGGTAGCCTACAGCCCCACCCGCATACCATCACAAAACATTCACATACCAGCCACAAAAAAACATTATTATCATCGTTAAATCATATTTTCGTGATATCCTTACCTCCTTATTTCCGGACATTCCACTAACATAAACTTTTAACACCATTTTTCAAGTTTGGATACGTAAACTAATCTAAATAATTACAAATATTTTTAGATAATTTTTAATTTCCTCGATGTCCACTTTTCTTTATTTTCGTCACCGCTGCTATAATTCGACTGCGACTCTGCGTTGCTGTTTGCTTGTCCACTTTCGTCGCTTTTGCTTATTTTAACACAAATATTGCCAAAGTATAGGTCAGTTTTAGTTATTGTGTCTACGACATCATTTTAAGAAAATAAAGTTCTAAAAAAATATGCGAAAACTTCATACAATATATCGAAAAATTTTTAAAATTTAAACAGTCGAAAATCTGTGAAATATTTCATAAAATTCATGGAATTATAAGAAATATTTCTCTAATTAGCAATATTTTTGTATATTACATTTCAAAGAATAAGGGAAACACATTGAAGAATAGTCAACATTGGTAGCAGCTGACTAAAGTCATAAGTTGCCAGACTATTCTACAATTTCACAAGTTATTATACCGTTTTTCAACGGTATCATGAATTAAATAGTTCGTCCCTTCAATTAGCAGCGCGAATTACCCCCTTGACACGGCATGCGATTTGACAGTTCTATGCTTTGCTGATTTATTTTTTTGTTTAATTTCAAAGCGCAGGGAAACAAAAAAGTAAAAGCTTATAAGGCATTGAATTTGATATGTTTTTGTTGTTGTAGCGGTTCGCTAACCCCGCTTAGGCACAGGTTTGATCAGTCTAAGCCGCCGAAATCATCTAGTGGTAGGTCCAGGAAACAAGCTGTTTCGACGGGGTCGGACCAACCGAGGGGGGTTAGATGAGTGGGTTTGAGGGGGCATGTGAAGAGGTGGTCGGGTTGTTTAAAATAAAATTCGTTTTATGCTATATACGCATTTCGAAATTGCTTTTGTTGTACATTTATACCGGAACTGATATCTGTCTATTCAAGTTTTTGTTAAAATTGATCTTCTTTATTGGCTATATCTTTATTTTTATTCGTATTCTTACTTTTTTCTTCAAAATACCTTTTAACGAAAGTTTCTCCAACGATCAATGGCACAACTAAACTAGCCTCAGCATATACTTTTACAGGTGTAGCATCTTTACGTATCTTTCCCCAAGAAATAGCCTCATCCGGCCGAGCGCCACTGTCGCTGCCATCAAATTCAGAAGCAGTGTTAATAAAAACGGAAAAGTCGGCTCCATTTCTCATCAAATTCGCATTGCAAATATGATGTTTTATTATTCCGCCACCTATTATAATCATTCCACTTTTAATTGCTTTTACAGACATTGTGTTCAAACGCCGCAAATCCGACAAAATATCCACTACTAAGCCGGGGTGTCTGAACGAGTGAAAATACATCATGTCACCTAGGCTGCCATCGGTAAGTGCCGGACAAAACACCGGAATCTTGTTTTTTGCAGCCCAGTAATATATTGAACTGGGATCATTGATCCGTTCACCAAGCCGATGAATAATGAGTGATGGAGACCAAACTATACTCCCAGTTTTCTGCTCTTCAACCATTTCATTTAATAGGGGCATCAACCAATCTTCAAATTTGCAATAATTATCGTTGGGCACAAGTAAGTTACCAATACGATTTATTCCACGATCTCGTAAATCTCGTCCAGGTAATTCAAATGAACCCATGTATGTAGGCGCAAGACATTTAATAAAGTCCTCCTCAATTCCTCCTGCAGTGGTTACCACGCAGTCCACCATTTTATGTTCAACAAGAAAACGTAATGTTTCACGTAAGCCCGACGATACTAAATTAGAAGTAAATCCGAGAAAAATTGTACAGCGGTGCTTCCGTTTAATAAATTCGTCTGATTCGTGCGCATCCTCCTCTTCCGGTTTGACAGGCTCTTGCCGGCAATCAAGCTGTGAATACTTTGAAATTTAATAATACTTTCATAGTAAACTATCAATATTACCATTTTATTTATCTCCTTTATTGCCAAACCAAGATTCGTGGCCTGAAAGCCAGTATTAACATACGATTGCAATAATTTGGAATAATCAATTCCTTGATTCCAATCATATCCCTTTACAATTGATGTACCTTCTGGTATATTTTCACTACGTTTAAGAACAGCTTCTTTTGCAATATCAGGTTCTAACGACATTTTCTTTTTCTTTTTTTTTCAAAAATATAGCTTAATATTAAATAAATATAGCAAAATTTACTGTACTCCGTAAAATTTCTCAAAATTAAGTTTTATTTTGATTTTACTCAAAACACTGAATGTTAGAATTGAAAAAACACATGTTCATTGAGAAATAGGGTTGACGTCGATATATAATAATAATTTTAATCTGGGTACCCGAAATGTTCACAGTATCGTCGAAAAGGATTCAATTCATAAAATAAATAAATGCAACTAATTCTTAATTCTCACTCAATTTAAAAATTATTAATTGGAAAAGAATTGCATATCGTTGTACCGTCTTGATATTTTCCAGATAGTTCAGGTACGTATAATTTATTCTAAAGCGGCCTGTAAATGGATGATGATTTCTGGTCTGCTGAGGTACGACCGCAATTCGGAAAAATATATATTTTTGAATTAATATAATTTTATGTGTTGTTGGGGCCAAGATTCAAACCCATGTCTCTCCTTAAATTTAGTTCATAGCACCCTATTCACTTTCCGGATAACCGTGTACTTTTTTAAAGATATACAACCATATTTGCCATTAAAAATAATACTTTAATTTTCGTTGAATGGGCAAATTGAAGCTTTCTCACATGTTTTTATGCATAATTATCTATAATTTATATATTTAATCTATTTTTGGAAAATCGTACCGTTTTAATAGTTCGTGTGGTATAATATGTGTTTCTACGATTCTATATTTTATTTTAAACCTTGACTTAGAAAAATCGTAAATTATAATTAAAAAATAATGTTATATTGTTGATCGTTCATAAACAACCTGGTCACAATTTAGGCCTTCCAGGTCTCCGCTCTGCTGTCTCCTGCCTGATGGAATGAGATGTTGCTTCATTTTTTATTAAAAAATATTTTGTTTTAAAGGTTTAGTGTGTTATTACATGTATTGAGTAATTTTCGAATATATCACAAGACTTAATAAATATCTAGAAACGATTAATAAATCGTTAATTAAGCACAATCTATTGACTTGCAATAAATATTTGTTTCATCTGAAGAAAACTAAGTAGCTTTACTCTAACTAAATTCGACTCTCTCTCGACAGTTACGTAAGATGCTTGTTATATTATTTCGGCACTACAAAATCTAATTAAACGAAATATAATAAATATAGGACGGCAACACTAAAGTGATATTTTGGCATTTGCTATTGAAAGTCAAAAACTTTTAGCAACTTTGAGAGACACAGAATAATTTAGAATCCGTAAAACTATAGAGTTTCTTACCTTAAAGAAAATACACTTAAAAGTTTATCCAAATATAAAGTCGTTAAAATTTTATTTGAAATAATAGGGTCGTAGCACGGTGATAGGAAAACGTATCATCACAACCAACAAGCAACAACAACACCACACCAGCGCCCTGACTCCGACCCTTTATTTGCAATATTTGGTTGAAAGCTTATAAACACAAGGAATCAGCAAATATACTAATAACAGCCGCATCGAGAGCAAGAAATACAAATTCTACAGATAATCCTATATAAGAACAAAATATACAGATAAACGGAAGTGCGAGGAGAACGTTATGATTAAATTATTTTCTCTAAAACAACAAAAAAAGGATGGCGAACAGTTGGCTCGCACCGGGCAGCAAAAGAAAGCATCGGCTGCGCAACTACGTATACAAAAAGGTAAACTAAATTTATAAAAATAAAATGTTATGAGTTTAACGTATTATTACCACGAAATAAAAATGTATTTCTACAAATACCTATAAAAATACTTAGGTCTTATTAGAAAGCCCTCGGATATCCTGTTTTATCCGACTAATATTACAGTTGAATTTATTCGTTTAGCAGTAATCAGATTTTCTTTCATTACTTTTTTTATAGATATTAACGAGTTAAACCTGCCGAAAACATGCGCCACTGAATTTCCCGATCCAAATGACTTGCTCAATTTTAAGCTCACAATTTGTCCTGACGAGGGTTTCTATAGAAATGGACGTTTCGTTTTCAGTTTTCGTGTGGGTCCTAACTATCCACATGAACCGCCAAAAGTAAAGTGTGAAACACAAGTTTACCATCCAAATATCGATTTGGAGGGCAATGTTTGTTTAAATATTTTGCGCGAAGACTGGAATCCAGTATTGACAATTAGTTCGATTGTTTATGGATTGCAATTTCTGTTTTTGGTACGTTAAACTGATTAATATTGTATAAAAGAAATACTTGCTATTTCAATAATTTTGCATTTCATTTTTCAGGAACCTAATCCCGAAGATCCACTGAATAAGGAAGCAGCCGATCAATTGCAATCAAACCGTGCACTTTTCGAACGTAATGTCTTAAGGGCGATGCAGGGTCATATGGTGGGTGATACCCAATTTGAGGCATGCCTTAAGTGATACCGAGAGTCAACTTTTTAATTTTAGGATTAGCGTCTACCTTGTCAACTTTAATTATTAGGTTTAGGTGGACGTTTTTATATTAATTTAACTTTCAATAATAATTAAAGAAGGAAAGCAGAAATTAATATGATTTATTCATTTTTTATTAGATAATCTTATCAATGCGTAGGTATGGCGGAAATGCGTATTTCGCCAACTATATAAGTATAAAAAAATGTTTCAAACAATTATAAGCCATTGAACTTACTTATTTCTTAAATTTACAATTTTAAACTATTTTCTTTTAAACGAATATTGCGCCAAACACTTAAATCAGAAACCGCTGATTGTCGCCCAGTTGCTGTGCGCAGATCATAGAGACTAAAATTTGTTAAAAAAATTGTTTTATGTATTAGAAAAATGTGCTTTATTATATTAAAAAAAAAACAACTCACCTACAAATTAGCCCAACGCTTATATCCTCAGACACCATAACTTTGAGTAGATTCTGAATGAGTTGGACAGGCAGTAATTTCAGAACCGGTCTTATACGTTCGCCTCCACATTCGATCAGCAATGAAATGAAGCGATAGGCAAAATATACTTTTGGTGTCAGCACATCTGATGTTACAAATTGTTGCAACAATTTAAAAATATATTGCACACTAGAATAAAGGGGTTCTTTAAGAGTTGCCGTACGTATGGTGTCCCGACCTGTTGTCTTATTTGTAGTATCAGAATTAACAGCCGTTAAAAGAGGGTGATTGTCACTGAGAAAATCATTAGAGCAAGAATTGTCTGAACCACCTTCTTGATTAAGTTTGCGCAATTTTGGTACATTACTCAAATCTAAGTCACTATTATCGGCTTCACTATGTGTACGTGTGCGCTTTTGCTGTAAAGTACTAATTGTCCCTTGGCGATGTTCCAGCGCCGAAATTATGCAATATACGGAGAGTAGAGCCAATACATGGGATTGTGGTTCGTTGATCTCCCCTCTAAAATTTTCGTAAGTTTATATTTAGTCCAACAAAATATTTATAATATTTTTGATGTACTCACCCAACCATTTGATTTGCATACAAGGGTATTATATCCTTTAACAACGCTTCCGTATTACGTTCAATATCCAAATGTAGTATAGCAAAAACAATATCCATTGTCTTCAGCATGTCCTTTCAGTTGGAAAAAAGAAAGAAAGATAATATCAAAAGTTTCCGATGAACATGATTGTGTCACTTCTAAAATATTGTCAACAAACCTTCGTGTATTTACAGATGAGTATTTCATGTACCAAATGCTTTGTTAACCAAGTTGGACCTCCGGATTGTAGTAATGATTCCAATATTTGTGCAGACATTACCGGCAACCAACCATGTTCTGTCACTGTTTTCCACACTTCACGAAATTGATCAGAAAGTGGTGTTTGTGATACGAGATTCTGTGTAAGGTTTATGCTGCGTGATTTCGTATTACTCGATGGATGTACATCCTGCTGCATCTTACGTATGATTTGAAAAGACAAACCTAAACGTTCTTTAACATTCTCTTGTGAAGTCATCTCCTCACTACTGAGAGGTGTCAAGAACTGCTGAATCATATTCAACGGTTTCAGTAACTCATTTTCACGCACTGAATACATATAAGCACATAGAAATGAAGTAGCGCATACGGAAAAGGAGAACATTCTGCGCTTAATATTTTCCAAGATACTTTTCACGTCAGTAGATGTCAATATATCCTTTTCCCAGGCAATCAACACATGATTAAGCACTCCGGGTAAGTTTAAACAAATATCTTGCCAAGTGAGATTACTGTATGAGAAATGCAATTAAGAACAATTTGAATAAAATGTAAAATACATACATATAATATATGCGCTAATACTGAATTCTCTCACAAAAATTTACCGTCACTAAGATTGTAAATACTGCCCGTAACTATGCCCTACTTGCGATTCTCTATAATTGTTTATATATCTATACATATGTATATTTATATTCATTATTTGGTTTTATTGTTTACAATTGAATATTCACGATAGTGAGGGTAAAAAATCTGTGAGATTATCAGAATCCGGGAATTAGATTGACAAATATTGCAACCAACCTATTCTTATGTTGCGTTTCTGGATTACGCAAACTAAGCAGCAGCTCATCTACAATTTGTTCTTCACATAGAGCAATCATATTGCGTGGATTTTTAGGTTTATTACGCTCGGCCATGCATTCACGCACCCACTTTTCAAAGAACGAATCGCCATGTTCGGATAAGACCACCTGTAAGAAAGCGCATTAAAATAGAACAAATGAAAATTTAAAAATATTTTGTGTATGTTCATACATCTGTTTATATGCACTTACATCTGATCCATAAGTTTGTACTATAAAGGTTAACATAAGAAAAGATACATCAAAAAGTGTGGAACGTATAATCGATGGTTTGCCAATTTCACCAGGTACCTGTTTTGAATTTTCATTACATTGAATGAGACGAGTAACGAAAGTTTTCAAACGGCCTTCTACAGTGGCCACTGACAAAATCAGATCGAAGCTATTACCTATTTTTAAATTATGAAATTTACTTATATATTTTCCAGATGTTGAATAATAAAAAAAAAATAGTTTTACATACCAACTAAAACTTGACATAATACACCTAGTAACGCCTCCTGAACTTTGTTGTAGTCCGTACTTAATGTCTTTAAAACCCCAGACAAGGGTACTTCAGCACGTATTATGAAATTTATGATTGATAACGCCTGATTGCCTGACTCACGTTTTTGCAGCATCAAAGAAGTGTTTTCACTATTAAAGAAATGAAAAAGGTAAAACTATAACATATGAGTTCATTTTATAATCATTATTACCGTTGTGTGGCGAAATGTTTCACTTGTACATCAGTAACGAGATGCTGTTTAGTCCAATCATTTAATAGATATTCTATTATGTTGCATGAACATTTTGTATCCAATAAATCCAGGAGTAAATTATCTTCTAGAAGTAATTCGAAAGCTTCAACCACCTCTGGAAAATGGTCGGTAGGCGTTTGCTCATCATTCGCTAATATGAATTGAAAAAAAACAAATAAACAAATAAATTTACAATTTGCTTATGTATAATTAATTTCAACTTACACTTTTGTAATGCATGCAACTGTTTGATGATGTGTGGTACTTTGAAAAAAGTGAAGGCGCCCCATAAGGTACCGCGACTTACTTCCACCACATTACTGAGCGATATAAATCCAGCACGAACAATTTCGTAGATGAGACGTGTCAATGTATAATTCTTAAGCCGTTGTATCATCTGCAGTTCGGCAACAAAATATGAGGTATCATTGCATGGATGCAGTAAAACTTCTACGGCTAGAAGGGGTTGTACACAATAGCTAACCGATTCTACACCCTTGGAATGCAGACGGGGCATAGTTAATTTCGAAGCATCTAAATATGCTAGTTGTTGAAGAGATTGTGATATAGCATTATTGCATGGATATACTTGTAATATATTTTTGAATCCATTAAATTTGTCGCGTATTTGGCCATATGTGTCAATATCATCATAACAACCTATGTAGTATATACCCATCAGAAATTGGTTTGATGTAAATTTTTCGACTATAACACATGTACGTTCAAACATATATGATTGTTCAGCGCTGATTTCACTACCGATTTCAAAGTTTTTCATCACCATAGCAACTATTTGTATTACCCAATATATTAAAGAAGTAACTGCATTTGGTAATATAGCTTCTTCTGGTTTGTTCCTAAATGTGAAGGGTATTAATAAAGGTTGCAAGAAGAAATAACGTTATGTAGAATGAAATTTACTCACCTACATGTTACACCGTCCATGACCTCCTCCAGAAATTCTAACAGAGCTGTAATACAATAAACGCGGTCAAAATGATCATATTTCGATATTCGACGCAAAACTGCCGCATGTGAGACCAGATTTGCACAGAGGCAATGGTTTAAATAATTTAAAACCAGCTATTGAAGAAAATGAAAAGATGAATGTTAGTTAATAATAAATTCAGTGTAACCTTTTATAACTTTCCTATTTTTTTATTTATATTTTAATTTAAGCCGAAAATATATATACATACCGGATTAGCATTTAAGCCCACCATGGATTGCTGTAGAATACAATCAGCCAAATTATAGGCATCGCCACTCACTCCTCTTGGAAGTACCTATTTTAAATGGGAATGGAAAGAATACAAATGTATGTATGTATACAAAGCCAAGACTTTTAAATTTATGCAAATTACAATACTCTAAATTTTATTTAAAAAACATTGAACGCACTATACAACTGGGCATGGCACATTGACAAAGTAAGCTGACACAATTTTTAGGCATTCAAGACATTTGCCAACAAAGTGAGCGAAAGTAAAACTGGTAGTGAAGCTTTCAAAAGCAGCCGAAATATATTTTTTACGAAATTTTACAATTTGCTTTTATTATTTAATTAAAGCCAACATATATTCCTTGATCATACTATTTCAATCGTGAATAGCCATGAATGTTATAAATTCAATAAGTCGGGCAATTTTACAAAATTTTCTTAAACTAAATAAATTACAATTGGCCACAGTTGCATATCAATTTAAAGTACAACGACCAGTTTACTACCCGGATAGACAAAATGAAATGCAGCGATTTAGTGAACAACAACAACAATCACAACTTGTCGCAGAAATTCAAGAAAAGAAGAAGCTTCCAAGAGATTATTACTACAAAATACTTGGCGTTAAACGGCTTGCCACAACCCAACAAATAAAAGCAGCTTACTATACATTGGCAAAGCGATTTCATCCAGATGCAGGTAGATTTCACCTTGTTGGAAAAATATAGAAATTCTCCTTAACCTTTTTTAGGTGAAATGAAAATATGTTAACTTTTAACACAATTTGTAGGGAACTCTACTCCACATGAATCTAAGCGTTTTCAAGACATATCAAATGCGTATCACATCTTGACGGATGAAGCCAAACGTTTGGAATATGACCAGTTAGGAGTAGTAAAGGACGAACAGTCATTTCTGCATAAATTCTCAAATGCTAACAGTATACTTACCAATCGTAAGGGGGATACAAACTTGCCGACAACACGCGAAGGCAAGCGAATGAATTATATATAATTACATTATTCAACTATCTTAGAATACATTTTTTAGAGTTAATAAAAATGACTTCAGGTGAATCCAGATTAGAGCTTTCATTCTTAGAAGCAGCACATGGATTAAAGAAGAATATTGATTTACGATTTCTAAAGAAATGCCCCGCTTGTAATGGTAAATCACCACAATTGGTTAACCGCAGTAAGCCAGAACTTTGCAGAAAGTGTCAGGGTATAGGAAAACTAACTAAAAAGACCGCCACTTATACAAGTATTCAAGCTTGCGATCAATGCCATGGTAAGCGATACATCAATCGTAATGAATGTGAAACCTGTGAGAATCGCGGAGTTGTGCTCGAAACTGTCCGCATTGTGGCTCAGGTCCCACCAGGTGTGAAGAACGGAGAATTGGTACCTGTTGATAACCCTAAGACAAAACAACGTGTTCACTACCGCGTGCAGGTTCAACCGAGCGATGTTTTTCAACGTGTAGGTAATAATGTACTCTCTGACAAGTATCTTACAATATCAGAGGCAGTATTAGGTGGGACTTTTAAAGTACGTGGCATCTACGAGGAATTAGAAGTAAAGCTAGAGCCTGGCACTGAGAGCCATTCCACAGTAACTTTAAAAGGGAAAGGAATCCGATCTCGCGACGGCACTGGAGATCATATCATAAATTTCAAAATACGTGTACCTCGTCAACTAAGTATGAAACAACGTCAACTAATAATGGCGCTAGCCAAAACGGAAGATCCCACATTTCAACGATCACTTTAGTGTAAGAATAGGATAATGAACAGCAATGTACAGAACGCAACACTGACACAAAAGGCTATAATTTGATTATATTTTGGTAACCAGAAAATTTTAAGTCTTGTTAAGAGCAAATATTCCAATAGTTTTTGAAAAATATATAGCTACAAACGTATACTTTGAATTAAAAATTAGACAATTTTTGTTTTTTGAAAATTGTTATTACTTGATTTTCAATTCATGTACATATGTGTTTTCCTTACCCGCTTGATATTTATGCCCCACAGTGCAACATTCCAACGTTCACGCCAAGCACGCAAAATCATTAACTTCAGCAAGCTGGTTTTACTTGGCTTCTGTAGTTCCATTTTACTATCTTTCATTGCAGGATATTTGGAGCAAAAAGCAACTAGTTAATTGTAAGAAAACTTCATTCTGACATTAAGAAAAATAAACAATAGTCAAGTGGCGATGTGCGAGGTTTCTACGCTTCTATCGATTTCTCAAGCAAACACACGAATAATCGATTAAGCTTAAATGTCTAACTACATGTTACATCCAGTTTACACTCAACCGTTCTTCCTTTTGCGGATGAACTAATGATTTTATCCCAGCAAGAAAGACTAACACTAAGCGCAACTACCAGCTGACAGCCAACACTAGAACAATATAATTTAGATACAATTCTCTACTCGTTTCTTTTTAAGTTTGTGTAATTGTTTGCATTTAATTGTATCATCAACGCCAAGCATTTGTAATCAAAAACGCCAAATGTTATATTTGTATTTCAAAAATTCTTAACATATAAGTCTGAGTTTTATTGTGATGGTCAAAGAAATTAAGGTGAAAAAATAGTGCTCTTAACCTGAAGTTTTTATTTAAAAAAAAATATATTATTTGGAGGGTTGTCTTACAACCATCACTGCAGACTGGCGATTCTCTTGCCGTACAAGGACTTACCACTGAAGAAAAGAAGAAAACGAAAATGTTTCCAACCTCTATAATTGATGAACATAAACTAATTAAAGCCAACCGAGACTGCTTTACAGCAGCACACCATCATTTAGCAACACATCGCCATGTAGCGCCACAATGTACAAACAATTGGAGGATATTCAGGAGCAACATTAACAACATACCCATTTACTCACTTTGTTGCAACACCAGCAAAGCAATGCCAAGAAATTCATTTGTGAATACTGCTATCGGCAAATTGTAAGAATCTAGAAAACTCAAAATATAATGGTTTAGTTATAAAAAATACTGTGAACCAAACATAAAAATAATTCAAAATCGAAAATAAATCGTTTTATGGTTTTCTTATATAATAATTTTAATAGAAAAAAAAGAAAAGAACTGCAGTTCCTACATTGTTACTTAAGTATTATTTTTCGTGAATGCTTATATAAAACATTTCAGAATCCTTTCCATGATTGCTTACATAAAGCATTCCAAAATTCTTTTTTCAGTGCTTATATAGTGCGAGTTTCAAAACGTCAACATACTTTGTAATGATGCGGTTTCGTAACAGTGTCATTACAATGCAACCCTGCATTCTATAAATTTGCCTTGCAACAACAATTTGAAAACTTTGACATTTTGGAACGCTTTTCCTGCAAATAAATTGCTTTTTGGTGAAATGGTTAGAATATGAAACTGATCAAAAAAATTAGAAATATAATGTTTAAATAAAATAATTAGCGTAAAAATCTTGCTCTCCGACGTAGAGCGTTGTTGCTTAAGAATTTATTTTAGTAATTTTATAAATACTTAAATAATACTTTATTATGCATATACTCGTACATGCCCTATCGAAAATGAATACAAGTGAATAGACATAGTAAAAAACTCGCTCCGGCGATAACGTATCCCTTACCGGATCGTTAGAATAACCTAGCGCTTATTTTAACTATTTTAATATTAGGTTTACTTATTTTAACGATATTCGCTATCCCTCGTACAGCTGTTGTCAAAGTAAAGATATTTTATTAAAGTTATAGTAAAGTAACGTAGATCGGAAAATTATCTAAGCTACACAAAAAAATAATGAAAATTAATTTTTGGCTTTTGAGTATTTGACATACGTTAAATCTCTAGATGAAGGTTTCGAACCCTTCATATTTGAATAGACGTTTACTTCTTAAAGTGGAAGATTCTTTCCACTTGAATGTAATTGAGTTTCAGAATCTATGTTGATTAATGTCAATGTTGAATAATTCGTTGATCAACTTAATAGCGTACTTAAAGGCAGAATAATGACAACAACCGACAATAAAATGAAAAATTATTTCTATTATGAGAAGGAAGCAACCAATTGGCTTTTTGAATAACTAAAAATTGTAGAAAATAATTATAGTGTAAATTAATGTTAAGCTATTTTTTCTGCAAATACCCCAAATAATGGCGTTTCAATTGATTGAGACTATCTTATGACAGCGGCATGTAAATAAAAACTTATGACCGCTTTCCGATGCCGTTGCTGATAGCTGTCCCGCATAAACCAACGGCGATTCAAAAAACCGGCGCAGGTCATTTCTCGCTGTTATACAAAGTTTTCAGTATTTGCTCTTTTAAACGAATAAGAAATAAACTAAGAAAATGCGCAGTTTTTCAAAAGAAATGGAACTGAGTTCGTGATTAATGATTAATTGCCATATAGATCAGGTATATTTGATTGACGATTATATTCGAAAATATAAATTATAAAATTCGTTGACACTGGCAGCTGGCGGTCTGGCTGGGAGGTATGTAAAATGGATAGGTGGGCTTCTATTACTCATATCTGTAGTTGCGTATATTTATATACGAACATAAAGGTGACAAGGTTTATTTATGTTACCGAACAATCAAAAAATTCTATCGCTCGTAATAGACAGGCTCATTTTTGTTAAGAGCTTATACGCATCTTTAACAAAGGCGGATCTCCAGCATTAACTATTAATTTGTGAATTAGCGACTGTATCAAGTTACTGAATTTCACGGAAAACCCGACCATAATATATTAATGATTTTGTCAGCAGGAAAATTTAGCTATCAAGGAGAATAGATGACAGTTGATGGCAGGCAGTAAACTTATTTTATATATATAAAATTAAATTCAATAATTGCGAAAATACAATCAAATATAAAGGCTAAAATAGCTCCAGTTTAGTTTATTCGTTGTGTACATGAAGGGCAAAACAACAAATATATTCATGTGTGTAAGCACAGACTAAAGTTTACTCTGATCGAAGAAGACTGGCAGCACTCTTTGGTAATAGATTTACAAGCAAATGAATAGAGGCAGGATGGACATCGAAAAAGCAAACATTAGACAGACATACAAATGACAAAGATCATCAAAACAATTATATCCCCTGCAAACTGAACAAGTAGTTTTTTTTAATAAATTATTATTATTTAGCTTCATAAATTGATATAATCGTAATAGTTTTTACTAAGAAAAAGTCAAAATCAGGACTTGAATTCAATAATTAAAGGAAAAGGTCAGAGAAGGTAAGTAAGTATTGCACGTTCGTTTGTTATATCTTGATTAAATTTTCTTTATCAGTCAGTAAACTTTTCTTTATATATTTGTACATTACAAGATTTTTGTTTTGATTAATTTCAAATATAATCAGTGACGTTTTTCAAAACAAAAACAGAAAATTGGCAGGTTGAAAATAGCCCCATATAAGCACAATCTGGGACATAATTAAGTAATATTTTGCCATTGCGTATTAATAAATTATTCAACAGAGTATGCTTATGTATGTAAGAAAAGATGTAATATAAATAAAGAAAAATTCCTTATCAAGGAGATTCAAAACTATATACTTAAAGAAAGAACCATATTGACACACGGTTATCACTTAAAATTTGTACATATTTAGTAAAAACAAATGTTTCCGAATATCCTTGGAAAACGCGATGAATTTGTAGTTTGAAGTATCAGTTTACCTTTACAAAAATTAGAACTTGCAAAATATCCACATTGTAGTTATTGAGCTAAACACAGGTACTCAAGAAAACGGTTTATGCTAAACGCTAGGGGTATTCAATTACATGCCTAAAAACCAATCGCGTTTCGAAGTACCTACAATTTTTATATATACATTTACATATGTATATGCATGTATGCTTACACGTAAGACTATTTATCATTGAAAAAAGGATCACACGCACAAGCGATCTAGATATGTAGGTCTATTCGTAATTGCGTTCGTATGTATGTTGTGTGCAAGTATAAACCGTGAGAGATACCACGCAACAGATTGTTTTGGTTAAATAAGAGGGTAGGCACAACCGCTTTCTAGGATTTAAAGTATTACAATTTTTGTAGTTTTCATAATATTGAAACTTAACTTTAAAGTTATGTAAAAGAAGTCCCTGCCTAAAAAATATTTATATATTAATGTTATTTTTGTTTTGTTCTAGAATCCTGAGCTGCACCAATTGCAATAAGATTAACTTTACTTACTTAATAATTTCATAAACCTTTTAGTCAGCTAATAAACTCGGATAAAGGCCAGCCTTGATTTTTTTGAATTACTACATCGTGCTATAATGATGAATCTTTTGGGTCGTCCTGATATCGAAACCGGTGAGGTGTACGCAAATTTTAATCAAAATGTCACGTGAGTAAATCAAAATTTTGTTTGCGTTTTATATACTAACTTAACATATTTATAACCGTTTCTTGTTGACAATGTAGGGCTTTGGCAGTAGCAACGCGTAATGGATATAGTTTATACAGTCTTAGCTCTGTCGATTTAACTTTGGGTAAATTATATAGCTGTGATACCGATGAGATATTTCTCATTGAACGTCTCTTCGAAAGTTCGCTAGTTGCGATTGTCTCTCAACGGTCTCCGCGAAAGCTGAAAGTAAATTATAAGGAAAAGTATTTTATTTTTGTAAATTTACAAATTTGCTATTTTAGGTTTGCGATTTTAAAAAACAGAGCGAAATATGTAACTACTCATATTCAAATACCATATTGTCGGTTAAATTAAACCGACAACGGCTAGTTGTATGCTTAGAAGAAAGCCTTTACATTCATAATATTCAAGATATGAAAGTTGTACATACGATACGTGATACTCCGTGCAACGGGTCAGGACTTTGCGCTCTTTCTTCCTCATCTGAGCACTGCTATTTGGCATATCCGGGTAGTATCACTTCCGGAGAAGTGCAGATATTTGATGCTATCAATTTGCATGCTAAGACAATGATACCTGCACATGATTCTCCATTAGCAGCGATGGCATTTAGCCCATCTGGAACTGAGATTGCCACAGCTAGCGAACGTGGTACTGTAATTCGCGTATTTTCATCTCTTGATGGTAGTAAACTATTTGAGTTACGTCGTGGTCTGAAACGTTGTGTTTCCATCGCCTCACTTTCCTTTAGTACATGTTCTGGGTATTTAGTATCAAGTTCAAATACAGAAACAGTGCACATTTTCCGTTTGGACCGAACGGTTGCCGAGCAAGCTGAATCTAAGCAAAGTTCTGATGACTGGATGGGGTATGTTGACCTCATTTTATTATGCTGTATAAATCATTTTCTTTATGTTGGGTTTACAGTTACCTTTTACCTGTTATCTTTTTGTTTTGTTTAATTTTCTTTATTTATATTACTTAACCGTACATGTATATTCATCTGTTTTATGTTTCTTTTTCTTCCTTTAAATTCGCACAACATACGTCCTGAACATCCACACCTGTTTTCAACACCAACCACCAACAATTCCAACATCAATCATAACAACATTATACCCAAATGACACCTACGCCACCTCTCATTTTTCCATCATCATTGTCCAATCGTTTGTCGTTGCGCTGCCCCATGTCTACTCTCTCATGCTTTTAGTTATTCCCTTTTTAGATATCTCAGCAAAACTGTAACAAGCTATCTGCCAACGCAAGTGACTGACGTATTTACGCAAGGACGTGCATTTACATCGGTGTCCTTGCCGGAACCTGGTATTAGACGTATTTGTGCAATTACAACAATCCAAAAGCAACTAAGGTATATTTTCCTATTAGCAGGTATTAAATAGTTATTCAAATGTAAGGTTTTCATAGTATTAATGGGTAGATAGGAAGAGGGTATTAGCTTCAGTCTAATAAAACTCAGTCTAGTTTATACCCTAAAGAATTAGTTAAAAACCTTATCGCACTGGTAAAGTACACACTTTTGTCGATTAAAGAAATAATATCCAGCCATAACATCTATATCGTTTACATATATTTATTGTAGTGACCTTAAGTCTCTATGTCGTATCTGTTGTTACTGTTGTTGTAACCGCAAAAATATTCCCAAAATAGTTTCTAGAGAATGTCCTTGGCCGGATTTACCGCCGGTAAATTCTTGAACACCTAAACCGCTAGGTTATGTATGTCAGATCCCCTCATGGCAGCTTCACTTCTTAAGAATGTGTTTATGTGCCTGTGTAAATCTGAATAGGTAAGTATTTATTAGAGGTGTGCATGGATATGCTTGGTTTGACTGCTGCATCACTGCACCCATTGTGTTGAACTCTATTCATCAAATCCTTCATTTATATATATATATATATATATATATTAGGTTTGGTTATTATTAATATTTTGATTATTAGAGTGAAGCAAAGAGCGCTGACCAATCAAATGAAGGATTTGATGAATAGATATATATATATATATATTTATTTATATATTTTTATAACAATTGTTGCAGCAAAGGAAATGGGGTATTTNAAGCAAAGAGCGCTGTATATATATATATATATATATATATATATATATATATATATATATATATATATGTGTATTTTTATAACAATTGTTGCAGCAAAGGAAATGGGGTATTTTAGTTTTCTAAATGGAAACTTTATATAGTTTTGTAACCTTCTTTGGCTTTTAAGTTTTCATAAAATTATTTTATGATTTTAATAATTTCGTGTATAATATTCAGCGATAATGGAACTGCGACTCCATATACTAGTTGTATGAAAAATACGAATAAGAGCAAAAATGCGGTGGATGCTCAAACACACTGCTTGTTAAAACAATGCTTTGAGAGGTGATATGCTTATTTTACTTATAACAGTTTTGTTTTCGAACATCTCTTCGCAAAAAATTTAATCTCTTACAGCAAAAGAGAGAGTATAGTAAATGTCTTATACTTGCTTTCAAATCCAATCACGCACACCTCTAGTATTTATTCTATGTTAATTGTTTTAAAAAATAGACGATTAGGTAAATTTGATTAGAAAGTGTGAGCGACAGAATGCGGGCGAATTTTCATTTTTTTTTTTTTTGAATTTATAGTTATAGACTGACTATTTAATACCTCTATGCTTTTTTTTACTTTTTCAGACTTTTGGTGGCCTCCCAAGACGGATATTTGTATGTATACTCCATACCTTCAATTGAGGGTGCAGAATGCCAACTCATCAAGAAGCATGATATACGTATAGATGATTCATATGCAATGGATATTAAAGGCAGGCATTATTAGAAACCTCTACCCCTCATTTCGATACCCCACCACTTGCCCTAACCACGCATAACCAAATTCATTACACATGATCTCATATGTTTAAGTTTTTTTTTATTTTTACACAGTTACGGTACTCACAAATTCCCAATTCTTTACGTAGCGCAACTCAGCTGAGAACACATTATATTTTAAAAACTTTTCGTTAGTTTTCGACAACGTGCTTACCGGTAAAGACAAGATATAAAAATAATGTAGATATATGAATCTGTGGTGTAGACATAGACTTGTACAGTTGATAATCGCTAACGTAATTCTGATTTCATGGGATTTGATGAGTACCCATAATAATATTTTAAACTAGATTAATTTTCCGTTGCAGTTGACTCGCCACAACCACTGGGAGGTTCAGGCGTTGTTGCAGCAGTGACTGAACTTGCAGCTGAAGAAGATTCATCTATACAGAACGCTACAGCCAGTGGAGCAACTTATGCTTCGGCTGTAAAAGGCGAAGAAAAAGTAGCACAGCCTTAGATGCATCGCACATGAAAAATATTCGCCATTACCACCACTTCACAAACCCATTAAGTCTCAATTACTGAAGTTTCTGGCAAATATTATATTTAAAGAGTGTTCGTCATTTTATGTTTAAATATTCTCTTGTGACATGATGCGTTTTTTTCAATTTCTAATTAATTATTTAATTTAAGGGGCAATGTAAAAAAAGAAAAAAAAAATACTTTTTATGCAAGCAAATTAGATCGATTGATTAAATTTTTATTATAGAGAATTTTTACTGTCGTTGGAATTTTCAGTATTCTATATTTTTAAATTTGGCTTTCTTTTAAGCATTTGAACATGCATAACTTTTAGAGGATCTATTTTACATTGAGGATATTATTATTTTCTCTTTATGTATGTAAATATGTCATTCAACTATTGAGTATCACCTGAGTGTACTTGCAATAAATCGCATTCAAATAGTGCGAAATTTTACGTTTGCATTTGCTAATATACATATATATGAAACTCCAACGTATCGGTAAAAGATAAAAATTCAATAATCACTTTAGAATTAAGAAATTCTGTTTTAACTTACTTTAATAAAAAAGAGAAGCAACATTAAATTCTATATTTAAAATGTAAATGCATTTCTTATTAATTTAAATGCAGGCAATTACATACATAGATGTCTGGTATTTAAGAACTCCGTTTAAATCCAGTCGTCACCAATAGCAATTGACTTCCCATCGTACATAACGGCTTTTTGTACGAGCAATATCTCCTGGAATTCAGGAAGGCGAGAAACGAAGATTCCATCAAGACCGCGATCCAAGCGACAAGGTTTTAAAACCAATTTAGAAACTCCGCTAACGCCTTTCTTGGTATTCTCTTCAAGTGCTTGTAATAGAAAGAAGCTCAATCGATGTATACTGGCGAGAATGCAAACATATTTTCAATGATTCTCCACAGAGATTGTAACCATTTCTTGTGTTTTGTTAAATTATCTCATCGAAAACCCTTCTCTGTCTGAGTAAATAAATACGCATCACCATAAGTTGTGATTTGTTTTTATTAAATTGTTAATTAGGCATATATAACTTCCATTAGCTTTAAAATTACTTAATGAGTTAAGCCCAATCAGTTTGAATTATTTATGTGTATGTAAAGTGTTGCTAATGTAGTTTTTCTTTCAAAAAATATATGAAATTTACATTTTCGAAAGACCCAAAAAAATATTAGTTTCTGCTAGGTTAACGTAAATATAAAAGGACGTTTTGTAAAATAAATGATTATAATGATTTATAACCTTATATAATGAAAACCTTTAACAGATTCAAGTATTACAAGAGAAGACTGTACACAATTTATTTCACATCTAATCTAGTGGCAAATACTTATTGCATTCAACATAACTTTATACATGTTTGCTTCTATCGACACAGTGTAGCGTCTATCTTTTCCAACCATGGCAGAATGCCTCTCAATTTAAAGCGGTACATCTTGTCATTTGCTATGGGATTGTGTTCCAAGTAAACAGTTTTAAGTTTCTTATTTTCCTTAAGTGTTTCAATACTTTTCCAATCTGAAACACTGTTATCATTTAACCACAATTCCTCTAAATCTTTCAATTCTTCAATGTTATCTATTGATTTTAATCTGTTTTTGGCCAAGTCCAAAGTTTCCAAGTTTTTGTTATTTTCTAAATTTTCAATTCTTTCTATGCCATTTTCCGATAAATAAAGCTCAGTCAAGTTAATTAGTTTATCTAAATTCTCAATCGTAACTATACGATTCGCTTGTAAACTTAAACATTCTAAATTTACTAATGTATCTAAATTTTCAATTTTCGTTATCTTATTCTTGCCGAGATAAAGTTGGCGCAGATTTACCAACATTTCAATATTTTCAATTTTACGAATTTTATTGTCTCCAAGTTCTAGCATTGTTAGATTCGTTAATATGCCTAGGTTTTCTATTTTAGATATTTTGTTTGCGCATAAGAAAATCTTTTCCAATTTGACTAGTTTATCCAAATTTTCTATTTTAGTTAACCGGTTAAAGCTCAAATCTAACTGTTCCAGATTCACTAAGGTGTCTAGATTCTCAATTTTAGTTATTTGATTATCGTATAGCTCTATTTCTTGCAATGTAGTTAACATTTCCAAATTTTCAATTTTCTTGATGAGATTCCATCGTAAGTAAAGACGTTCAATGCATTTTAGCGGCTCCAAATTTTCGAGTTTATCAATACGATGGTGGTTCAAATCCAATTCTAAGCATTCAGGATCAATGAGAACAACGTCTTCTATAGAAGGTAAGGGCTGCTCAATTATCTCTTGTTCCACAGACGGTCCAATCGATGGACTCTTTGTTGATTTGGATCCTACTGATGTATCCGAATTAGCGGCAGTTGCTTCGGCGTTGTTTTCTGCATTTTCTGGTCGACTTTCGGGTAAATTAGCGTCCGACATTGCTACAATAAGTTGTGAAATTGGAAGTTAGTTAATACCAGCGAATACCTTGCTTAAAGTAAATATAATCCGGCAAATATAAATAGCAAAATGCGATGAATAGCGATGACACAGGCGGAAACCAGTGTTGCCAGTAAAAGTTAAGATGTCACGCAACTTTTATTTCCTTCAAGACAGGTAGCTTGTGCCTAAAATATGTTAGAATTAATGCCGCCAAAAATTTCATGTAATTGATGAATTAAAAAAAGGCAGTATGAGACTACTCATTTATCTACAACTTGATTTCTGAAAAGGATTAGGTATTGTCAAAGAACGTATATGAATAAAAAAAACGACAAGACTCATACCACTCAGACTAAAAAAAATTTTTGATAAATTATTGAGAAAAAAGCACAACGCAAAGAAGTTTAAATTCAATTTGCATGGAACATTTTTGTTACGTTTTTGCTAAATAGTCTGTGACAATCGTTACAACTATTTAATTATTTATTTCGAAATTATATTCAAGATAAGAAATTATACAACGAATAATGGAACTTTTATTTAAGAATACAGAGATCGAAATCGAACGAATTGGGAAATCCCTGAGGCGTATTCAGCGAAAATCGTTATTAATATAATAGTCAATATATTAACGAGAACTTCTCTAACGCAACTATGAGGTGAAGCGAGATGAAACTTTTATGTGAATAAATTTTAATTGATATCTGTCAAGAGCTGAAAAATTTGACACTTTTTACAATTTTGACATTTATACGTTTCTTTTTCCATAAATAATCTTTTTATTTGCTCTACATTTTTACTTTCCTAAATTGTTATTCTAAGCATTTCATTTCTCTAATTTTTATTAATGCTGAAAAAATTGTGATCATGGAGTGTACAGTGCAGTTAAGTAAATAAAGATCCGTTTTTAGAATAATTAAATTAGGATTTCTTTGCATGATAATAAAAGTTCATAAGTACAAGACAAAAATAGATACCTCATGAAAAATCGATGTCAGTGGATTTGGAGGAAATTTAATCTTTGGAAAGATCATACTGAGCAACTCGATATTAAAATTGGACTTGGTTATTTTAGAATTTTACACCATTGTATGGAATAATATTCTGTTGTATACTTCGGGAATTCGCATATATTCCAGCAAATCTACCTCAAAGTCACTTCGTTAAATTTACAAATATATAGTAAGTATATTAAATAATTTATTCACATCATATTCTTAGCAAGATCTACCTTTTTAATGTCCGTTTTTTTTAATTAACGTTTTTAAATAACTCATAATAATCAGAAATGGAGATCCCATTATATATAATACTATTTATTAAGGGTTTTCAGTTTTCGCTGTACCGCCTCGTTAGTAGTTTTACCTTTTATTATTATTATTATTTTTAATATAAATAGGTATTAATAAACTATCAATATTATTGTTATTGGTTTTTGATTGTTGTTGGTCTTTTGATATCATACATATACATGTACAAACGAAAGCGTTGTAAACATAATTATGACTTTTAGCTACGTCACTTTTATTAAGAGATTCAGAATATTTTTCAATTATCAATACTTGAAACCTCTTCAAATTTAAACACGCTCCCGCTGAGTGATTGTATTCATTCGAGAAAACTACTCATCAGCTTTTAACCATGATTACTTGCACTTCCGTGATATAAGAGTATTTCATCGAATAGAGATCAACATCTTCATATCAAATCTGTTTGTACTTGTAATGCACGAGAAACCCTTGTTCTTAAATATTTATAAAAAGAAATCGCGTCCAGAATTAATTCTTATATTTTTTGGTTTAATTTAGGCGATTAGTTAGCTAAATGTTTGGAATAACAGATAAAATAGAAAATTTGCATTTTAATTTTGTATTTCTGATATCCAATAATAACCTTCTCATAAAATTCAATCAGTCCGTTGTAGGCGGCTTGGAAAAATTTATTGATCCCAGCATGGTAGAACCTCAAATTCACAATCATATGCATATATTTATGTGATAAAAACACACATACATATATTTATCACATAAGTATAAAGTAAATGAGTGCGCAGGAGGTGTCCATTTTCTTGTATCATGGACAAATAATTAAACGAGTACATTTAGGTATCTAATATTTTAATCTTAAATTAATTATAATAACGCAGTTACAGCAAGCGGTTATCAGATAAGAAAGGCAGCATATGAAGATATTAATAATCTCCCCTGTTGAGTCTCAAGTGTCTTACCTAACTAAATATAAGATACATTTTCAGTAATTTCAACTAGTCAACTATGCAGTAGAAATACCTCAATTTTAATGCACGTCAACTATATATGTATATAAGCAATAATCGCAAAGGCACAGCTGCTATGTTGTTAATATGTAAGTCCTTTTTTTATAACAGAAGTTTGACGTTGTTTGCAGCTCAAATTAAATATCTAAATTCATTGAATATCATTTTCGGTTTTGAGAACAAAATGAGAAAATACAATATATTACCAAGTGTACATACATACACGTATGTGTAATTTAAGATAAATATTCCTGCTTGGACAAAAATATTTCTTTTATTATCTCTAGGTAAATTTCACTTGATTTTCATTACTGCTGCAGATGGGACTGCATATATTTTCTATTCAATTTTGGATTTATTTTTTTACCGCTCCCATTTTATGCGGCAGTGGTTGTACGTTATCAGCATGAGTAGAATGCGATTACAGCTGTAATTCTCCACATTTTGCAATTTTCAACAAGTTATGTACGTATTTGATTTTCTTGTTATTTAGGTATGTGTATATGCATATTTATATGTCTGTATATTACGTTTGCGTTTTTACGAAATTGAACATATGAATGTATGAATATACATATGTATTACATGTAAAATAGCTGACACTCAAATGAAGTAGGTATAAAAAGATTGTTTTTAGATGAGCCAGCTTGAATGCCATTCAAAGGTTTAAGAGAATAGTTTTTTATAGCATTAAGCCCACAAAGTTGTAAACATATGGATATATTTATAGTAATGTCTAAAGTATTTTAAAAATCTAAATTTTAATAGAAATATGTTTTATTAGTTCTCATATAGACCACAAACTTAAGTTAAGGAGATTAAAGGAAAATATACTGTCAACTAAGCTCAGCTGGAGGAAGAAAAGTTCCTATCATGTCAGAAGGAAGTGTGTTGCATATAAAACAGGAGTTGGATGTCAGCACCTCATGTTGCAGTCCCAGCACCTCTACACAATTGGGTGTTAATCGTTCTAATTCATATTCGAATGGCACTAGTGCTAGTACAAGCAGCACTAGCAGTGGCAGTGTTGTTAGTGGCACTGGTACGGGAGGTAATACCTCAACCAGCGGTAATAAATCATCACCATCGGTTTCGCCGGAGCGGCAGTTGTGTAGTTCGACCACGACATTGTCTGCCGATTTGCATAATGTCACCTTGGCTGGATGTGAAGCAAGTACGCCGATAGTACTGAAGGGAAACGATTGTGGCGGCAGCAATAGTGTTAGCACTGCAAATAGTAACAATGGAGTTGCGGGTGGTGGCTCAATACGCGATGAGCTGCGTCGTCTATGTTTGGTTTGCGGTGATGTTGCATCAGGATTCCATTACGGCGTTGCAAGCTGTGAGGCATGCAAAGCCTTTTTTAAGCGCACCATACAAGGTAACATCGAGTACACGTGCCCTGCTAACAATGAATGTGAGATCAATAAGCGTCGCCGTAAAGCTTGTCAGGCGTGTCGATTCCAAAAATGCTTGCTTATGGGAATGTTGAAAGTGAGTAAAAGCAAATTTTTTTAATTTCAAAACTTAGGGTTTTACTTTGAGTGGACTAGCAATTTTGGTTAACGTAAAATTGAAAACATTATTTCAATTTTATTTTCCTTTTTAATTGTGGTATTTGTAATAATTCCAGGAAGGCGTACGATTGGATCGTGTGCGTGGTGGTCGACAAAAGTACCGTCGTAATCCAATTTCGAATTCATATCAAACAATGCAACTGCTTTACCAATCCAATAGTACCTCACTAGAAGATATTAAAATATTAGAGATATTGAACGCATATGAACCAGATGCATTGACAGTGCAACAACAACAGGAATCACATAACTTAAACGAAACCAGCGGTAACAGAAGCACCAAAGTTATTCCAAGTAGTTCAGTTAAATTAGAGCTAAACAATGGAGGCAGTGGTGGCAGCCATAGTAGCAATAGTGAAATATTAACTTCTAGCGTACAACCAATGTGCATTTTTCAAAATAACAACTGCGACGCGGACGAGATACTCGCTGTGCTTAGTGATCTCTACGATAAAGAATTGGTAAGCGTGATTGGCTGGGCCAAACAGCTACCCGGTTTTACTGACCTTCCACTGAATGACCAAATGAAGCTGTTGCAAGTGTCATGGGCGGAAATACTGACATTACAGCTAAGCTTCCGTTCGCTGCCATTTAATGGCCGACTTTGTTTTGCCACTGACGTATGGATGGACGAGCTGCTGGCCAAAGAATGTGGCTATGCTGAATTCTATTATCATTGTGTACAACTCGCTCAACGCTTAGAACGATTATCACCTAGACGTGAAGAATATTACATGCTAAAAGCTTTAATTTTATCTAATTGTGATATATTATTGGATGACCAAAGTTCATTGCGAGCATTCCGGGAAACTATTCTTAATGCGTTGAATGATGTTGTATGCTTATTACGTTATGGTTCCGCAGTATCACATCAGCAACAGCTATTGCTCTTACTTCCAGCGTTACGGCAAGCGGATGGCATCCTTCGGCGCTTTTGGCGAGGAATTTGTCATGAGGGTAAAATAACTGTAAAAAAATTATTCGTTGAAATGCTAGAACCGGTGTCCAGGTGAGACTGCCCTTCTATCATTATATTTTAAATGCTTGGGGAAAGCATTTTGGTGAATATGGACTCTCAAATACATATAAAATATGAAAACCCAATGTAGTAGATGAAATAAAATATTCGACTTCTGAGTTGGTGGAGGTGCTTTGTGATGTTTGTATAATAAATAAAGATGACGAATTTACATATTTCTAATTACATAGATACATATGTATGTATGTATCCACGGTGATCATAACACAAAATAAAAAAAATTTGAGATTTGGAATGTTCGGAGTAACTGAATTTCAAAATGACAAAGTGATGTGCATGAGATTTTTCAAAAACATTTAGTTTAGGTTCCTACAGGCATAATTTTTTATGAGCTTACGTGCATATAATCAAGTACACGTGCTCCTGTCATTATCTATGACAAATGCAAACTAGAATTTATCAGTAAGAAAAATCTAAATAGATGGGGAAGGCCAAGTTTAATTTTCTTCAGAGCTTCAATGCCGCTACGTTTGCGTAGGTTACCTTATCAACTATTTAAAAAATTAAAATAAAATTAAGAAATATAAAGATTTCAATCAAATCACTTATTGGTCTAAAATAAGAATACATTTCTTGTTATTTGTAAATACGAAAAATTCAACTCAGTGTTTTTTTCATAAACCTTTAATATATTCTAATCTTAAAAAACATGTAAAAATGTTATGATATTGAAAGCCGAAAACCTTTGAAACATAGTTCCCACCTTAAACCGTTATTGAAAAAAAATCCGATTCGTATTTCGATATGGAACAATAATAATGACACATAAAAATACCGCTGAATGTATACCTACGAAATACCTCCTACAAAAAGCTAATAAAAACTTATTATATCATTTACTATATATACATAAACCGAAATATACATATTGCATAGACCTATGAATACAAATACTTAATAATAGATTTTTTGTAAATAACATATGTATAATGTAGTTTAGATACTAAGGATGTATTTCAGTTATTACGAACAATTTTTTTTTATATATCAGAGAATATAACATTTAGATTACAAGAGCTTTTTAGATTATTTCTAATATATATTTTTAATTTCTAAACTCTTTCTTCAAAAAGCGAAGACTTAAGAGTAGAGTATATAATTAAGTTTATAACAAAGAAGTCAAAGACAATACCCCTTTGAATTTAGTAATTTGCATTGAAAACAAAAACTAAGTTGTTAAATTATATTTTTGAGTACGTCTTGAATTATTGAAGAAGAGAGGTTTGAAATCACATTTGATATATTTTGCAAGTAAATAAAAAATTATATTGGAAAATTAAAAAAAAATCACCTATATATTTTAATTTTCGTTATGGGCAAAAGGTGAGTCTCATCGATACGTAAGTTAAATAACAAATTATGAAAGGTTGTTTATTGTTCAATAAGCTAATTTATTAATAAATTCTAATACAATAAATAAATAAAAAATCGTGAGAAAGCATGCAATTCGCTGCATATATTCTATAAAAAAACATAAAGCCATTTAAACAGAACTAGATTTATATACAGCCTTTTTAATTAATTAAGTTGCTTTTTTTACAAATACATACAAATTTTTTAAACATTAACTTTCACTTTCTTCTTCTATATTAACCAAAGCGGAAAGGAAAAGACAAGGCATTAACTACAAACATACAACAACAGAGAACAATATTTATTTGAACCGCCCTTATTTTACGGAGTTTCAAAATCGTTCTACATTCTTTACCTCTAACATACATACTTTAATAATTGTATGTCGCAAATTTTCTTTAATTTTAAAACGAACACATTGTATAAAGTTCGAATACAATGTTATTTTCTCTGATCTAAATTTTATCCGGTACAAAATTTTGCCTGCTCTGTTGGATATATTCCACAGCCGGCGAATCGAAATATTTTCTCGAGTCTTTTTGAAATTGATCTGATCTTTCCAATTCGCGTCGAAAGTAACTAATCGTTCGATATAACCCCATGTCCAGGGGGACTTTTGGTTCCCAATTCAGAACCGATTTTGCACGTGTTATATCAGGTTTACGCCTTTGTGGATCATCTTCAACTGCATCTGTTTGTTTCACTTCACTTTTTCCACCCACTAATTTTTTTATGATCCATGCAAACTCTTCAATAGTATGCTCTACCGGATTACCCAAATTGACAGGTTGACTATAGTTGGAAGCCATTAAAGAAATTAATCCGTCAACTAAATCTGAAACATATTGAAAGGAGCGAGTTTGCTTCCCATTACCGTAAACTGTAATGGTTTCATTACGTAGCGCTTGAAGAATAAAATTAGAAACAACACGCCCATCATTCATATGCATTCGTGGACCGTATGTATTGAAAATACGTGCTACGCGTACTTTTACATTTTCCTGTAAGTATATAAATTAAAGTAAGAAATTTAAATTTATCATGATAAAACCTGTTTAGCATAAGCATAACTGAGAGTTTCAGAAACGCGTTTTCCTTCATCATAACATGCTCTCGGTCCAATCGGATTTACATGACCCCAATATGTTTCCGGTTGTGGGTGTACAGTTGGATCACCTAGGAGCCATGGGATAAAAAGTATATAAAAATATATACCTATACATATCAATTTTACTACATCCAGATATACTAAATTTGTCAGTTTGTAAATCTAGTTAGAAAAACAGCATAAACATTGCGGACTATCATAAGGCCAGTTATTGTATTTTTCTTTACAAACTCATAATGATTCAATCTCCTAGCTATTTTTATTCAAAGTTATCTTTTACACGATTCGCCAGATTATTTAATATTATAATAGCTTTTTATAAATCACTGCAATCAACTAGGCTGTAATTTAAGGAAGAAATTTAACAAAAGTAATTTCAAAAATCACATATACATATAAGCATTTTAAATACCAAATTCAACTTAGACTGATCATTTATCAATTGTTTCAAGCTCTTTCATATTCTGTTCGATATATATACATATGTTATTATTATTTTTTGTTTTTGTGAATTTATCTTTAATGTGATAATTATTATTCTTCAGACTGTAATATGAAAATTTTATTATTTTAATGCTTATTGTTAAATAACATAAACAAATATGTAAAATGCAGTAACGAAAAATAATGATTCCCTCAGAGGACTCAAGTGACCGTTTTCTTTTTAGATCTGAGGTGATTTATCATTCATGATTGTTATAATTTTAACTCAAACAGTAATAATTATTTGAATTAAATAAAAATTATTTGTATCGTAATTTTTTCGCTCAACGTTTAATGACTCTTTTTTCGACTAGTCACTTTATAAGTTCACATATTAATCTTTCCTACATATTTCATTAAAAAGTGTAAACCGAGTTCTGAACGATATTTTTTTGCTAACGATAATAATTACTGTCTTTAGGGTGTTTAAGTAATACTCGAAAAATAGTTATTATCTATTGAGAAAAATTATAAAAATCAATGTATAAACTTTAAGTTGTGATTTTTATTTTATTACTCATAATAATTACGGTCTTTATTTATTTTAAATTTTTTCAACTCACCATATACTTCCGACGTACTGGCTATAAGTACTTTTGCCATAACTCTTTTAGCTAAACCCAGCATATTGATAGTTCCCATGGTGTTGGTTTTAATGGTCTTCACTGGATTATACATATAATGTGGAGGTGAGGCTGGTGATGCCAGATGATAGATCTCGTCTACTTCAATGAAAAGTGGATTAACAATATCATGATGTATTAATTCAAAATTTTCATGTCCCAGCCAATGCTCCACATTTCTTTTCCGACCTGTGAAGAAATTATCAACTACAATGACTTCATGACCCTGCACCATAAGTGTGTCGACAAGATGAGAACCGACGAAACCGGCTCCTCCAGTGATCAAAATACGCTTGCGATTTTTATAGTTTAAATATTTCACTTGTGGATATTTACGTGGTGTGCTTGCCTCTAAAGCACGTACACGATCTTCTAATATGGCGATTTGAGCTTTCGCTTGTTCTATTTGGTTCACAAGTTTTTGTTGTTTTTGATGTATGCCCTCCTTTTCTCCATCGTCCATTATCTTTGGGTGGACAAATGCCCAATGATCCTTATTTAAATTTGCTTCGGACCGGTTTACATCAGTGGGGTCTTTCAAAAACGAACGATAAAGTGCAAGCAGTAATATTAGTACTATTAAGACTGAAGCTGTTACTTTAATTCTCTTTTTTGCAATAGGCACCATAGGCATTTTAAGCTATGTATAATTTATTTCTATAAGAAATTATGTTGTAGACCTATCATTCGCAGCGTCTATGAAACGGATATTTCCATGTTTTATTAACACTTAGCAATTTGAATAAAATCCCACGGCAGAGTTAAAACATATTTTTGTCTCAACGGCTAAAACTTATTAAAAGATCTATTTTTAAAGACTAAAATACAGTGTTATGTTTACAAATACTTACACATTTGCCTTTGGTTTTATGAACTGCTACTGCTACCTTAAGAGTGCTCTTATTACAATTTATATATTACTTAATTGATTGTAATATTTTTCAGTAAATGCACTTATTTGTATATAATTAAAATGTCAAAATATGTTATCTCTGCTTCTATTGTTAGTTCTAAGCGATTGTTTCTGACATATAAACAAATGATAACAGGAAAAGTGTTGCCACGATTTTACATTTATATGATAAAAAATTTAACTATTCACGGTAATTTGCAACAGCAAAGAACCAAAGAACGTATATAAGTAAAAAGCGACAAGACTCATACGGTCTTTGTGGAAATGCGGTAGAGTCGTTCATGTTCATATGACAGAGAACGTAAAGACAATTTATAAGTTAATAAAATTATTAGTCAAGCATTTCATTATTATGTTAAAATTACAGTTCATGAACAAATAATCTTCCTTATAAAAAAGGCGATTGCGAAATGCCGACGACAAATCGCCCCTTTATAAGGACATACATTTACCATTAGATAATATAGAAATTTGAAAAAGATGTTAAATACATTAATGAAATAAATCCTTTCACCCAATTCCAAACAATAAATTCATATTTTGAAAATAATATTTTCGCTTTTTTAATAACAAGACCATACAAATTCGTTACCATAAGCAATGTTAATTGCAGACATATCAGTACATTTCTGAGCATATTTAATTTTGCTACGGTCAGTAATAATGCATAAACAGCAAACTCTTTTTTTTTATTTCTCTATCATTTTTGTTTGGATAGGAAATTTTGTTTCGCCGTAATGTCCCGTTGTGCAACGAAAATCGCTAGAAATTTGAAGGAAGGTGTAATCTGTCTGTGGCACCTCAGTATTCACAAAGACCGTATATTCATATACGTTCTTTGGTTGCGACAACAAAAGTTGCGGATGTGTCTTAGGCATAATCTACCTTTGATTCGTCTATTGTAGATGAATAAGTGCTTAGAAGCAGCATAACATTCGAGCTTTGTCAATACATTTTTTGATGTGAGTCATTCTGGTCGTTAGGTTACACACGGGTAAATTGGATGTGTAGAAAATTTGACAGGTCTGAATTAAATTATAAAGTTAAAAGTTAATTTTTACAATGCCGAATAACGATAAGAAACAGGATAATATAGAGAATAATAACGAGCATAATACAATAGAAAGCACTCAAGCAGTAGCTGCTGCAACAGAAGCATTGATTGCGGCCGCTGTAGCCGGTAGTAAATCCGGACCCACTGCCAATAATAAGGATGATGATGATGTGGGGAAAAAAAGTTCTGATGCAAAGTCAACATCAGCAGGTAAGAATTATATATATTTTTGGATGTTGTGTAGGTATATTAACAATAGAAACGGCTGAAAAATGTATATTTAAAATGAAGGTTGTTGGGTAGGTACATATGTGCATGCAAATACCATGTATACGAGCAAGTGATAGTTTCGTTAATACTGCTACCTCTTGGTAGAAGTGAACCTATATGAAGCTGTTGCTGGGTCAATTTATGAAATGTAACTATCATAAGTACATACGTATGTTCTAAGTAATGCATTCTATTTTCTTTTGATTTGAAGGTCAATTATTCAGAAATCCTGGTATACTGCAGGTACTGTCTGAGGTGGCAGCTGCCGGTAGGCAATCAAAACAGTTTGCTTTTTGGTCTACCCAACCGGTGCCCAAATTAAATGAAGATATTACTACAAATGAGTGTATCGAACCCGATAAAGATATTTCGGAGATTCGTCCAGATCCATATACGCTGCCGGAAGGTTTTAAATGGGATACTCTTGATTTAAATAGTACCACCGATTTAACTGAATTGTATACTCTCTTAAATGAAAATTATGTAGAGGATGATGATGCTATGTTTCGCTTCGATTATCAACCTGAATTTCTTAAGTGGTCATTGCAACCACCAGGTTGGAGACGTGACTGGCATGTGGGTGTGCGTGTAGTAAAATCAGGACGCTTAGTTGGTTTCATATCTGCTATTCCAAGCAAGTTGCGTTGCTATGACAAAGTACTGAAAACTGTTGAGATAAATTTTTTATGCGTTCATAAAAAATTACGTAGCAAACGTGTAGCGCCGGTGCTAATACGTGAAATAACTCGTCGTGTAAATTTGACTGGTATTTTCCAGGCGGCGTACACAGCGGGCGTAGTGCTGCCTAAACCAGTTTCAACCTGTCGCTATTGGCATCGATCTTTGAACCCTAAAAAGCTTGTTGAGGTATGGTAGAAATTGATGTATTAAGTAATAATTATTTTATTATTTAAAATTTTAAAATTACAGGTGAAATTTTCACATTTAGCACGCAATATGACAATGCAACGAACTATAAAACTGTACAAACTACCAGATCAACCCAAAACCAAAGGATACCGTCGCATTCAACCTAAAGATATGGATAAGACACAGAAACTACTTGAAGAGTACCTTAAGAAATTTTCTTTAAGTCCAGTTTTCTCCAAGGAAGAATTTCGTCATTGGTTTACACCTAAAGACGGCATTATTGACTGTTTCATTGTAGAAGACGAACATGGTAATATCACTGATATGACCAGCTATTATTGTTTACCCTCTTCAGTGATGCATCATCCGGTACACAAGACTGTACGTGCTGCTTATTCTTTCTATAATGTGTCCACAAAAACACCTTGGTTGGAACTGATGAATGACGCTTTGATCTCCGCAAAGAATGTCAGTTTGGACGTATTCAATGCACTTGACCTAATGGAAAATAAAAACTTTTTGTTTCAATTGAAATTCGGTACCGGCGATGGCAATCTTCAATATTATCTATACAATTGGCGTTGTCCAGCTATGAAACCAGAGGACGTGGCGCTAATTTTAATGTAGTGGACACGAAGCAGAATTATATAAAGTACGAAATCTAGCACAGTTAATATTATATAACAAAAGTTCAAGACCTACCACAAAAGCCAGCACTGCAAAATGTAATTTAACAGTTTGTTTAATTATTCTGCTTACATGCATAACGATGTCCATTAAGTTGTATTGTTACAACACTACATATAAATAACCACAATGGAGTTGGTATAATTTAAAGATACTTTAAAAAGATATACATAAGCATATGTATATCCGACATGTCTTGAAAATCTTGAGTTCTCTAAATAGCTATCTTAATACATAATTATGCACATGTACATATATTATATATGTACCTATAGCACAACAAAGTTAAACAATTCCAATAAAAATATATATAGAGGTATAGCTTCTTAGTTTGCATATATGTATGTATATTTGAAAATCAATACCGTATTTTTCAGTATAAAAATGACAACATACTTGTAAATATGATGATCATTCTAATACCAATATTTTGTCTACATTCTTTTTACTGTACTACCATCTTGCTTTATATGATTTGATTTTATTATAATAATCAGATAAACTCGTTTCTTCTAGTCAATAAGATCAGATACCATTCACGAATCAAGTTCTCGACTCACCTTTTCAAGACTTAATGACGGTAATATGAACGAATTGAGAGAGATTCTAAGTTATCTATTTTACATTTTTGTATTCTTTAAAAAAATTGCGAAGAAGTACATACTCATTTCTATTAGCAGCGTCAACTTAAAGCTAAAAATATATGCAGTGCATTCCCGCATTCATTGGTTAACTATGGACCACAAATAGAAGTAATAAAGCAAATTCCGATTACAATCTTTATCTTATTGAATAATAAATGAATTTAACGAATAGAAATAAAACTAAATAATTAATTTTAAGTCTACAAATGTAGTGCTTATTACATAATTACACTTTGGAAATTATTTTGAGGTGTACTAAATTTATGTTCCTTCTCTATTACCGATGAAATGAAACGAGGTCTGCATTTATGTATGTATGTTTTATTATTTTATGATTTGATTTGATTTCCGATATTGAAGTAAATATTTATATACAATTATTACATTTTTCTTTCCATTTTAAATTCAAATAAACGACTGGTTATAATTTACATAATTTTTTATATAATGTATATACAATACAGAAACTAGCTAGATTTTAACATTTTTTTCACACTTTCACTTTCACTCGGCGTTATTATTTCTTGAGACACTAATATCCATTTCTTCTAAAAGAAAAATAAGGAGGATAATTTCAAAGGATACTGAGTTTTAATTGCAAGACTGACTTTTAGGTACTTACGTAAACTGAGAGTTATTGCTGATCTCAAAGCGATTGCGGTCGTATCATTTTTTTCACCTATATAAATGCATTTGGGCTGTATTTTAAAGTTTTTATCCTCTCTTAACTCTTGTATCCAAGCCGCAGAAACTTCATCGTTTTCTAGTTTTAAAAAGTTGTGCAATATACAGCACGCTTTAAGTATGGTATTCACGTTTTTCGGTGCAACTTGTATGCGCCTAGTTAACTTTCTGAATCTAGCTTTGAGCTGATCGAAGGCATCTTCAATTTTACGATGACATTTAGAAAATTTGCTATTGAAATTCTTTTCAATATTTGTTTGATTCGGTGAATGTGGAAATGGTTGCATCATATATCGTGAAAGACAAAAGGATGAGTCGGCTATAAGTAAAATGGGTACATTTACGTCGCCTATATTTTTGCTGTTTTGTTTAAAAATATCCTCATTTTCATGGAATCTTTTTAACGTACTATTTTCAAAAACATCCGATTCGCTGATCCCACCTTTTGAACCAATATTTACATAGGTAAATTTCGACCTGGAAAATACTAATGTTTTTTATTCCGTTTTAATGCAATTAAATAGTTTGATCGTACAGGTGGTCACAACTTGCCAGCAAAATCACAGAATTCCAACCATTTTTGTTGCGATAGCCTTCTTCATCATCCTTTGGCGGCCGAATTTCTATATGACAGCCACCTACAGCTCCAAAGACTTGTGGGAGACCAAGCTGCGCAAAGCCGTCAACAACTCTTTCAATTTCTTGTTGACTTGGTGGATATGAATTAAAACAGTCTGCGAATTTTTCGCATACTTCTTTACAAAAATCTAAAACAATTTCACCAACAGTAGTGCGTCCAACACCGAAAATTTCAGCGACTGAGTTGTATTCCTTTACCGATCCCAAAGCGAACAGAGCTATAGCCACCCTTTTATGAAGAGGTATGCACGATCTCATATTACTGTCTTCCTTTTCGATACACCGAACTTTTTCACAAACTTTTTGGAAAACATTTCTTTTTAGACGAAATTTGTCTTTAAAATCGTTGTCGTTCATCGAAGGTACTTCGGCCTCCCAAAAACTGCCATCTCGATCCTTTAGGAAAACTTTTCTACTTAGTTCATATAACGCTTGTGGATATAAAATATTTTTGTATGTATGTAGGTATTGTACTTACATATTTTCGCGATTGCTTTTTTCGAATACGAGGAAATGTAGCGCTATGAGCTTGAAGTAGTGTGCTAATATGAATGCTTGTCACTTCATGGATAATTTTTAAATTATTGAGTAGTTTTAAAAGAAGAATTTTAATTTTTTTCTTAAAAATAAAATTTTGTTGTGCAAATAGAGCCGATGTCACTCTTATCCTTTGCATTCTCTCCATTTCGAGCATTGTACAGTCTATCAAGTAACCTAACTCTGTTCAATGATTTCGAGCTCAAGGAAATGGGAGGATTAAAACCCAATATGGATTAGCTCTGTTCGGTGAGTTCATGAGCAGTACATTTTCGTCTAGTTGATATCTCTGTTTCACAAGAAGTCTCAGTGGGAATTATCCCGTAACATGTCGAAATTGCGCTTTCTGATGTAAATTTTATTGACATTTTGCTCACCGGACGCGGTTTAGTAAAAAAAAAAGTAGCCATCGTTACTGAACACCCCCTCACAGAACGGACTTTGTTTTGTATTCGGCATCGATGTGTATCGATTAATAATTTAATATTATTCAGATTCTAGGAGACTTCGAATAAAAATGTTTTTATCTAAAAATTTCAATGATTTACTTAATTTAAAAAAATTTTAATGGTAATTTTTCAACGCATTATTTATAGTTGTATGTTCGGCAATCAAAATGAAATGGCCGTAGGGGACGTAATCGGTTAGCTGTAATAATTGCATCGTGTACACAACGATTTAGAATGCAATGGCGCGAAACTAAACATTTGACAAGAAGAATATAGCAATTATAAGTTTTTTTTTGCAATCACAGCGGCAGTGGAAAATATATACTTGTAATTTAGCGATGAGTGATTCTGGTTACAAACAAAAATATCAAAAATATAAAATACGAGTAAAATCATGGGAACGAGATTTCAAACGCAAGTACTCACGGGTTCCATCCAAGGTAGGAAAACATTTGAATTAATTCCAAGTTATAGGCATACGTACCATCTAAATTTTAGTATGATATTCGTGAAGCGCCACAAGAAATTCGAGATGCTTACAAAATGTATTATAAATTAAAGACATCATTTCTGGAGGATACACTAAATGACGTCTTTGATGACGATGGTTTTAGTGTATTTGAAATTTCGCAGACTCAAAGCGATTTGCTAGCAAATGGCTGCAATGCTGAGACTCCTAAATTGTCCAATAGCATTGCTGCATTAGTGGGCAATGACACGGTGTCCTCCAATTTACTCAAACAATTAAAACCACAAGAAGAGTCATTACGTTCCGCTTCCAAAATATTAACATATTCTGATTTCGAAGACAAAGCTTTAAAGGAATTTGAAGCTGTAGAAATTTGTGAGTTGAATGAGAAGGCGTGGGGTCCAGAGGTAAGCAACGAACCACTTGGAAAGGATATTCACAAAACCCAAAGCGAGTCGGTTGCGTTAAAAAAGCCATTTACATCTAATTTATGCGCAAAACTTTTCAAAGCCTCAACATTTAACAAACGTAATCCTAGAAAATTGCTGTCACGTTCGAATTCTGAAATAGCAGCACAGGTAACGCGCCATGAATCTGCTCCTAATTTATCAGAACGCACAGAAGTTTTGCCCGATTTAGAGACGATATTAGTGCAAAAAGCTAAGGAACAACAAACACTAGCAGCTGTTACTGTCAATCCTTTATTATCAGGTGAGCAAATACTCATACACTTTCATATAGTGGTGAAGTTGTATACGTTGCTTGTTTCGTTAATGCTTTTATAATGAGAACTTTACTGATTTTTAGCTAAGGAAACATCCATGCAAATAAATGTGGATGCTGGATGGCTTAATCGTAACACTATCGATGAAGGGCTAAAGGGAATTGCAGTAACTTCCTCGCAATCGTCCAAATCTCTGAATGATGCAATGTCAAAAACTGCAAAATCGGTAAACAGGTTTGGTTTGAATAATATTAACGTAAACACGTTAGTGCCTTTTCAAGATTCCTACGAAATTACCAATCGGAAGGAGACGCCACAAAAGGATATGGTAGAAGCTACGACTGAAATGACGACAAAGCAGCCTATGCAGACAAAGAATACTAATGGCGAGGACTCAGATTCAGTTGTGTCTGATAGTGGTGGTGAAGAAGCAGAAAAAACTTATATTCATGTTGTAAAAAGGCGTCGTGTACTTAAAGGGCTTGAAAAAAATCAAACAACTGAAAAATCAAATGCACTCGCTTTAGATTCAAGTATATGTCAAGCGACTCAAGTAAAAGATGAAGAAACTTCTTGGGTGTCTAAAAACAAAGTACAATTAGTAAAAGTTTATGATTTCTCAACGGATGACAATGGAGATGCGGATTATTCTCCGCCAAAAGATAAAAAAGAATCCCGAAAAAGATTTAAAAATGTTAAGAAGAGTGTTGCCGCAACAAAGGAAGGGAAACCGAAAATAATACAGAATGCGGGGAAGGCAACTAAAACAAAAAAGACGCCGAAGAAAAGAGCTACGAGAGCTTCGAGCTTCAAAAGTGCTTCTGATATTACAGCGAGAGCAGGAGAATACTCAAACGAGGAACTTGATGAAAAGCCACCTGAAGCAGATGTGTTACGTTACACAATGCTACTTGAACGTGGAGATCTCACAAGTATACCACGGGTTCCAAATTCTGAGTTAGAGATGGCGGATATTGTAGCACAGCGGTATATAAATAACACAAACGTGGAAGTTTCTGCAGCCGCACCAGGCGCAGCGAACCTAAAACAAATTTCTCCATCAGTTGTGGATGAGAAACGAGCAGCGGCTCGAAGAAAGCTCGAAGAAAAAATCGCAGCTGGAAAGCTCAATGAAAATTATGTCACAATAAATCTGCAAAAAAAAATATATGCGCGTGGAAAGCGTAATATTAATTTTTCCAAATATAAGAAAAAGCAATGGCGACACAAAAAAAAAATTGCAGCACTAACAGGACCAGATATGGATATGGGCGGTTGTGATGGTGGCGTGCTTACTTGCTTCACTTGCGGGCAAATAGGACATTTTGCCGCACAATGTAAGGCTAAGGGCGATTCACTGTTACCACTAACAGCACAACTTGAAGAAGATCCCTCCCCATTTCCGACGCTCGAAGAAGCTGAACGTATGGCTGTACAAAGCGCTGTTGTGGCGCATAGCAGGAATATATCGAAATTGCCAGCTGCGCCGAATAAAGCTATATATCAGAATAGAGAGAAGCTGCATGAAAATACTATAAATGGAATAGAAGATATTAAGCCCAAATCTTCAGGTGACGATTATGATCAAAGTGAAGTTGATGAAAATATCCTTTCTGGAAGCGATGATAGTCTAGAAAATATCGATCTTAATGAAGTCTCAACATTAGCTACTAAAGACTCGCCCATAAAAAACTATGTGGGCCATAAAATTCCGGAAGATTTTCTTAAAAAAGCAGGTCTACATCCAACCCTTCTGGAAGGTAAGACATCTGATTTGCTATCTGAAGGCATTACACCACTTTATGAACTCGATGTCGATGGCAATGTACGTAATGACATTCCTAACGAAGTAACAGAAGCCTTGCGCATGTTCGGCCATACGAGTTTTCGAAAGGGCCAGGAGCGTGCAATTATGCGCATACTGTCTGGTCTTTCAACATTAGTAACGCTTAGTACCGGTAGTGGAAAGTCATTGTGCTATCAGTTGCCTGCATATTTGTATAGTCATTGTAAACGAGGGATAACTTTAGTTATTTCACCACTTGTTTCACTTATGGAAGATCAAGTGACAGGTGTGCCGCATTTCTTGCGTGCGCATTGCTTACACACCAATCAAACACCTCAACAGAGAGTGAAGGTAATGGAAATGATTTCCGCTGGCGAAGTGGATATATTGCTGGTCTCTCCGGAAGCCGTTGTGGCTGGTGAACGTTCTACAGGTTTCGGGGCAATTTTGCGTCAACTCCCGCCGATTGCATTCGCCTGTATTGATGAGGCGCATTGTGTGTCGCAATGGAGTCATAATTTTCGTCCTAGCTATCTTATGATTTGCAAAGTCTTGAAAAAGAATTTGGGCATAAAAACGATTTTAGGTTTGACCGCAACGGCGACTTTGCCGACCCGATTGAGTATTATCAACCATTTAGGAATTCCAGATGGCGAGCGTGGAGTAATCAGTGATATCCCACTGCCAGATAATCTTCTATTATCCGTTTCAAAAGACGAGAATAAGGATGCTGCGTTACTAGGCTTGCTTACCAGTGATCGGTAAGATAAACTCATCTGTTTAAAAATTCATATCGTCTTCATGCTGTTTTCCTAATTATAGATTTAGCGACTGTCAATCAATAATTGTTTACTGTACGCGGCGTGATGAATGTGAGCGTATCGCTTCTTATCTTCGAACTTGCATGCAAGATAAATTTAACGACAAAAATGAATCCGAAAACGGTAAGCGAAAGCGTAAACGCACGAATTGGGCGGCTGAACCCTATCATGCTGGTATGCCGGCCTCTCGTCGTCGCACCATACAAAACGCTTTTATGCGCAATGATCTTCGCATAGTTGTGGCAACTATCGCTTTTGGTATGGGTATTAATAAACCAGATTTACGTGCCGTAATACACTATAACATGCCACGTAACTATGAAAGCTACGTACAGGAAATCGGACGCGCTGGGCGTGACGGTAAACCGGCACAGTGCCATTTGTTTTTAGACGCCCGTGGGAGCGATAAATGTGAGTTACGTCGTCATATCTATTCCAATTCGATAGATCGACATGTAATACGAAAGTTGTTGCTGCACGTTTTTGTGCCGTGCGCCTGCGCTAAGAAGGAAACGTCAGAGGCGCAATATCAGAAGTTACAAATTCAAGGAGGCTCAAATATCAATAGTCGCATATGTCCCGGGCATGAAATTGGATTTTCGGTTGAACGCACCGTAGAGGCATTGGACATACCTGAGGAAAATATATCAACATTGTTGTGCTATTTGGAATTGGATGATCGTTGGAATATTAATGTACTTAGCAATGCCTATACGATGGCTAAAATCATATCATATGGTGGGGCCAAGTATTTAAAGTGAGTTTTGTAAGGAAAATTTAGAAGGATTTAAATAGAATAACTTGATAAATTTCAGACATGCAGCCAAAGAATGTCCACCACTAGCTATGGCTATTGCTCTGGAAATTAAGCAAGATAAGTTTAAAGAGGATTCAAATATAATCGAATTTTCTGTGGTTGACATTGCGGCAGCAATTGGCTGGAACAGCGGAGTGGTGAAATATCAACTGAAAAATTTAGAATGGACCGAAGGTAATTTTCCGTTCAAATATATATATATGTATATAAATTTACATATGTATATACATTTTCAAAAACTTTCAGTAGCATTTTCGTGACTGTAGTTTCATTAGTAAAAATTATATTTTTCAGTCAATGGTTATCCCCGACGTTCTCCTATTAATGTGAATTTCTATGATCTTGGCTTCCGATTGAAAGCTCCAGGAGACTTTATACCTGAAGAAATAGACGATGCGCTTGACACACTTTACAATCGCACTGTCGAGCAAGAAAAAACACAGTTAATACAACTACAGTACGTTTTCCAAGGCTTATCGTCTGTCGCTTTCAACATTTATACGCCGTGTACAAGTAAGAACTACACGCCTGATCGTTCAAATCAACTTAAAGGCATTATACGTGATTATTTCCAAAACGACTATCCCAAAGAACTGAAATTAGAGTCTGATGTAAGTCGCATTCAGATACATTATTTAGATTTCATATTAACTCATAAACATTTTATGTTCCAGGCTTCGAATGTGTCCGATGCCGATATTGAGCATGATGTGCTTTCGCTCATAAGTATGTATCCCGATAATAATTTCAGTGGCCGTAATATTGCCCGCATTTTCCATGGTATTCCAAGCCCCAACTTCCCCGCTGTTATATGGGGTCGATGCAAATATTGGCGGGCTCATTCAAATGTAGATTTTAATAGAATTTTAAAATTGGCAAATGCATTAATTGTACGAAGACGCATGTAGTGTGGACATTCATAACAAATGGTAAATTTTATAGTGCTATTTTTGTCATTAAATTTTATATTTTACATTTGACTACACTTCGATGGTTAGGAGTTTCGGGTAATTATAATTAAATATTTTTTCATGTTATAGAATTTTAACTTTAGTCTAAATTTCCGTTCCATTCATTATTATTTGTATGACATTTCAACTTCAATTAAAACTTAAAAATACAGTATATAATTAATGTTATTTAACTAAAAATATTCGAAAGCTAGGTTTTATCAAAGAACTTAGATACTGAAATATCTAACTGCAAATTTCTGGGTCACACATTTTTTTCCTTGGACAAAAGTATTTGCATTATCTTTAAGCGAAGGTACTTGAAGTGTATCATTTTTATGTTAAGAGTGTCTTCTTAACACGCAAAAAACATATTTGATGGCTAGTAGGTAATTCGTTAAACCTAAATCAAAAGATTTAAGAACCAAACTCGCAACTATGAATAGGACAACAAGTTTCATAAGTGAGAGCGAATTAACAAGGTTGACTAGTGGAATTAGGGCGTGATTGCGTTGCTATCATCTGAATAAAACACTTCATTTTGTTTCTTTAATAGTAACTAATGTTTTTATTTAAAACTTTTGCAAACGTTATTTTGTGTTTTATGTTATTTATTTATCATTGATGACGTGAAGTAAGTAGTTTAAACTAAAATTATGATAATACACATACATATAACATAAATAATAGCATAAATATATATGTATATACATTAATATATATGTATGTATATGTATACTACGCATATTGTATATACTTGTTTGTAGGATTTTTAATAATATTTAAAAAAAAAGAAGTCATTATAAGTAGTGCCTTATACGAGTATTTAAATTTCTATATATATATGTATATTTTTTTGTTGTTGTTAATAATATATGTGTATGTACGCTTTGCCATCAAGGTTGTATGCATGCAGTCAGCTAATGTCTAGACTTTGTTTCAGTTCTAACAAAGTATTAATAAATGACAAATCAAACTTTGCGCATGCGTACTTTGTAAGTTATGATATTATGAAGTTTTACAATTAGCCGAAAAGCTATTTTGAGGACGGTTTGGGGAGTAAACGCTGACTCCCAAATAATTCCTTCCCAAGAAAATGACAAGAGGACCGTTAAAAGTAAATAAAAAGCTTTATCTGGAAAAACTATTGGCTACTCACCCAACTCCGTGTAAAGTTAAAAAGCATGCGTTGTGTGCAGAAAGATGTTATGAAACGAAAAATTTTTACGGCTCAGAACGGTTTTCCGTTGCCAAATTCAATATCTTAACTTTTTTTTCCTGTTTTAAATCTTATTGTATGATTTTTCTCTATAAACTAATAATATGTATCCACTTATACGAGTACTTTTGTTTTTCTTTCCTTTATTGTTATTTTACTAATTTACACGCCATTAATCTGCTTACCGCTGGCTTTCACATTTTTTTTTATTATTTATTACAAACTAACAGAATTAATAAATAAATATTTATGTACCCTCAAAAACACGAAATGTGTGTCTGCTTACCACCACAGTGAAGAGCAGTTACACCCTTTCAAATATTGTATTTTTGCTTTTACATAAATTATATAAAAGCAAGTTTTTTTTTTGTTAAATATTTTCAGGCTGAGCAAGCGTCCAACTTCCAATTCACTTTTCCATCCATAATGGTATAGTGATATCTTGTAAGGCCCGTTGGTAGAGCAGCCCATTTTCCGTTCTTCTTAGAGTCAAATAGTTCTTCCTTATTATTGGGGTATAGCGTAGCTTATCTGCTGCTGTTAGTATTTTACAGCTGCTTATACATATATGTATGTGTTTGTATATACTGTAAAAGGTGTGATTCGATCGCTATTCGCGTATTAGCGCCGAATCAAGCAATTTATGAAATGCGACCTGATGAATTAGATATAAATTTAGTGAACGCTTTTACCAATAATGGATTTTCCATCACTGTACATATTTAATTTCTTGCTGCCGCATTTAGTTGAAACACTTTTACATTTAATCTGAAAACATATAATAAAAGGGAATTAGATTTGGAAAAATTATTAAAATCATATAATAAGTTTGACTTATCGATATAGGAGGCAATTTATTATTATTTTCTTCCAATAATATTATAACATCCAATTATAATCTTCAGTGTAAATTATCATAAACATGTAATGGTATATATATTATCAGTTCATGTTGGAATATTTCATTTTCATCACATATTCATTTAATTTTCTTTTGTTCGATCTCAAATGAAGGTAATATTAATTTACAGTGGATGAAAAGTGGTTTTGTCATTCTGTTAGAAGATAATTCAAACAAAAAGGAAAGGCGAAATTAAGCACAAAATATATTTGAAATATACTGAATTAAATTGAAATTATCTTAGTTTTCCACCATGAATGAGTAATTATTTTAGTGCAACTCACCCAAAATATTGGCTTTTTCGTATTTTAATAAATCAGTGTTTAAAATTATTTGTTCTTGAATAAGGAATAGTTTGTTTTAAGTGTTGAGTTTCAGTACATAAAATATTTAATTTATATTTACCTATGATGTGACTCTCCAGATTCGTGATACGTGGCTTTGACGATGGCTGTGGTATAATAGTGATTTCGTCATTAATTTTTAGCGGTTTCAGTAGGGAATCATTCGTTGCCATTAAACTGCTACGCTGTTGATGATTAAGTCCACCCCCTAAGCCCATACCGCTGCTACTAGCCGGCATACTACTGCCACTTGACGCCGCAGCGGAAGCATTATTCTTTTTACCATCCATAGCCTTCTTTGCGACTGTACTGTGCGCCGTATAAACATGTGTCTCGAACTGTTTGTACATACCGAATGTTGCGGTACAAACTGTGCATTTGTATGATAAATGTGCAGGTTTTAATGTCATATGATGATCGCGTGATACATGATTCAATAGCTTCCATTGATACATCTGTCCGTGGGAACAAAAAAAATTTATATTAGATATTTTATTTTTTTTTTTGTATTAGACAATTTTTAGGGGGCCAGATATATTACCCTGCCACAAATGGGACACCGGCCGGCATCTTTTCCTTTGTTTGCGGCTTCCTGCATCGAGCTTGTGACCAAACCATGAGAGCCTAACAAATGTCGTTCTAGACCCTGATCGGTGAAGAATCGGAAGTGACACTTTTGGCAATTTAATGGCGGCCGGTTGTAAATCATTTTCGGGTGTATCTAAAAATGAAAATAAAAATATAATAATAACAATAATAAAAATAATGTATAATAATAATAATAAAAATAAAACTTTTATTGGAAGTAAACACCTACGATTCTTACCTTAACTTTGTGTATCCACTGCATGTGGTTGCGTAGTTGTTCCAAATCCCTGAGGTAACCGTCACAAATTTCGCAAATGACAAACTGTGCTTTACTGTTGGCTCCAGCAGCGCCCATCGGACTTTGACCAGGCTTTATACCACCCGGTGGCATTTTGCTTGTCGACGGTGATGTCACAACCGCTTGTGCGGTATTTTGGCGAGGTAGTGGCGTTATAGAAATACTAGGTTGCCCGGAAAGTGTTTTTTTGGCGAAGGCGTTAGCTGCCTATAAGGTAAGGTAAGGTAAAAAAAAAAACACATTACTCACTTTGCATAAATAATTTCTTTAATTTCCGACAAACCTGTAAAAGCTGTCCGCTGGGTACTTGGTAATTGTTGGGTTGCACCACATTTGTAGCCATTTGAGATCTAATCGGTGCGGGTCCTCGTAGCAGAGGTCCAGTTGGTAAGGGGCCCCCTTTTTGAGTCGAAATAACGGGAGGGCGACCACGTATTTTATTCGCTGCGTTTTGAGCAGCCATAGCAGCCGCTTGCATGTTACGTGCTTGAACTGCTGCTTGTTGCTGTTGTTGTATAGATGCAAGTGCTGCCTTTTGTGCTGCAGCTTGCGCGGCCATTGCCTAGAATAAATAAATTAAATTATCATTATAATAAATGAATTCGGAAATGGGAAAAGCTGCAATTATTGTCATTTACCTGATAGGCGGTCGCAGTGCCCACTAGACCATGGCGTGGTTTGATACGTGGTATCTTCGCCGGTGCCTCCCAGTCAGCGGGCGGTGCCAAATTTATTTCAGGCCGGAATTTCTTGGCACAAACCGGCTGATGTCGTCCCAACTTAGCTTTCCCATTATCCTCGAATCCACAGTTGGGACATTGGTGATATGGCAGCGGCTTGATAAGACGTGCTTTAATATTGTGTATAGCCTCCATATGATAGACAATTTCTGTGGCGTTACGTATCTCAAAAGCGCAGAAGTTACACTTATAGAGAGCGCCGTTCATATGTGGCGTTTCATAATGATTTGCCATGGAAAGTGCAGATTCCGATTTGAAATTACAAAATTCACACCGTTTCATAGTGAATTTGAAGGGCGCATTCTTCTTTCGAGATGCTTCCAGATTTCCAGAAAGTGCTGAGATAGCACGTTCGAACTCAGTAATATTTTTACCCAAACTCTTACGCATTTTACGCTTTTGCAAACGTATTAAATCGGATTGCACAAACTCTTGAACCAAACCAACACCGATGTCCATAAAAAACTTGCCAAGTGGACTCTCAAAGTAATTTTCTTGCCCTGGCTTTGATGTAGCGGTGGAATTTTGTGTTGACATACTAGGCGATTGTACAAGTGCTGCAGCGGGTTTAATAGCTCCTTTCAGTGCGGGCAAATCATCGGAAACTTCTTTGATTAAAACTTTCGTACGCATTCCAGATTCCGAATCGTCATCATCGTCGTCATCATCATCATCATCAGATTCCTCAGACCACGACTCATCGGGATCATCACCACCACGCCTACGCTTCTTCTTTTTATTACTCTTATCATCCTTGTCCTCTTTATTTTGCTCAGTCATCATGTCGAATTCGTCTGATTTATCTGCATCAGCGAGATCTTCTTTTGTTAGCTTGTATTTGCTTTCGATATCTTTTACTATATTCTTCAAATTGTCTACCGGTGGCTTCTCATAAATATAAGGTACGATAAACGAAGGTGCCTCAAGTACAAACATGTCATCCGTTAGACCCGGCAGTAAATTTGCCGCATTTGCATTACCAAGGCCGGTGAAAGATGTAGCACTAATCGCGCCGGAATTTCCAACAGTCATGCCACCTGTATTTGAGACGGGCATTAACTTCGGGAGCACACTGCTTGATACTACACCAGCTGCTGGCGTAATATTTACGGGGTATATTCCACCTTCTGCGACTTTTTTCGCAGCAGCCACAGCAGCAGCCGTTGCTGCGGCGGTATCGTGAGCCATTAGTGAACGTGCATCTTTAATAGATATAGGTGTGCTGGGTCCCATGCTACGCTGACGCTTATTTGGCGGTTGTGAATCGTCCGAGTGTTGAGGCGAATCCAGTGTCATATTTTTCCTTTTATTTAAATCACTTATCGCTTGTCCGGCATGAACTGCAGGCGCAGGTGTGTCGTCCTCTATAACAACACAGTCATCATCTTCGTCGTCGTCAATTACTTGTGTTGTTTCATTGCATGCTTTTTGCTTAGTAGCCTTTGAATTTGCTTCGGTATCTGAATCTGAGGCTATAACTACAGCACCATCTGAGTCACTGCATATTGAGCCTGTTTTACGTACAGCAGCGGCTTTTGTCGTCAATTCACTGTTATCAGCGTTGGCAGGTGCGTTAGCGTTTGCTGCATCGCTTGACTTTGCAGTTGGTAAAATTTCTTCGTCTGAATCATCGCCCAGGTCAACAAAGCCACTGGCGTCATTGCCCATTCGTACACCATTTTCCTTGTTTTGCTTTGACGCTTTAATATCGCTACATATGGACAGCGGATCAGTAGAAACGTCCATGGGATCATTAGCGCCAACGCTTCTACTGTCATCAGTTTCATCTTTTGTGGCATTTAAAATTATATCTTTGCATTTTACAGCCTTCTCATCTTGACTGGTGGTATCGGCGGCTTCCAGCTCACTAACACTGCCAGTGTTACTACTAACCGTGGCAGGCCTCTCGAGGCTCTCACTCGGCGCATTGCTACTATCTTTATTAGGATCTGCTGTTTCGCCCGCAGTGCTACGCGAACGTGGGGTTTCATCAACATCTTCGTCACTTTCACCCCCAGCTGATTTGTCTGTGCATGTATTTGAGTTTTGTAATTCTTCGTTGCAAAAATTACGTGAATTCTCCTTCCGATCAACAATGGGTTTGCTAACACTTAAGGTACCTGTTTTGCTACCTGCGCTCTGACCTTTATCTGCTTCTGAGGCATTACCATCATCTTGGCCTGTTGACATTTTACTATCATCACCATCACCACCACCAACTGCACCCCTACCATTTTCTGTAGTTGATGAGGCTGTCATCTGAGAATCATCCTCTTCAGTATCAGCTCCATCAACCTCCATTTGTTCATCTGATATAGGTCCACAGCTGTTTGTTTGTTTGTTTAAACCATTCTGTTGGTCCTTTAATTGCTGCTGCTGATCATTACCGATGCCAGCGGGCGTACAATCTTCCGTAGGTGCTGAATTCTGATCCTCACTGGTAGCAAAAGACGTTGAGGAAACGGATTGTGTTGTTGCCTCCGGCATTATACCATCGACTTCAGTCATTTGCTTTGAGGCGCTTCTATTATATCGCAACCAAACTTAACTGCAAAAGAAAAAAAAGAAATTATGTATATTATGTTTTGCTCGTCATATAAAAAAAAGTTACATAATACCTTAAAAAGGGTTACTTATTTTTGGTATTGTTTTTACTTACATAATAAACAGTTTTTTTTTTAATTCTATTTCTAAGAGAATTTACTTGAATACTTCGTTTTATTAGTGTAATTAACTAATATTTAGTTAATGTATTTTGTATTTTAACATACTTAACATATATAGAGCCATATTTCAAAATAAAATACTTTTGGAATATCGTTATTTGGCATAGTAGATGCCTAAGGATTAGTTCATACAAACATACATACACGTAACTCTCAAGGATTTCAAAATTCGAAAGTACACTAACGCGATTTTGAAGAAACAAAAGTAACGTAACATAACATGCTTCGAGATTTAACATTGGATTCTTTTGGCATTGTGTTCGAAGAACATGGTTAAAAATAAACCAATGTTTGAAGTGAAACTACTACATGCAAAGAATTGTTTAAAATAATACGTTTTTTTAACTAGTTAAAAAATAAATTCACTGCTAAAACAAATAGAAATTTCTATACATAAATTAAATAATAGTAAGTAATGGCGACGAAAACGTGAAACAAGAAATGGTGGAATACATACGTACATATACATGTACATACATACTACATACTTGTGGACATACCCAGGTACGTATCTACAAAAGTTATTAGCTTTTAGGTACGTATAATGATAAAATTGAAAAAAGAATGCGATACAAAATCAGGGGAAATTTCTGTGAATTCGGCGAAAATAAGGGACTTATGAAAGTTTTAATGAAAGAATGGCTTGTAACTGATAACAAACTTATTGTACGGATATAGGAAACTCGAAAAAATGTATGTATGTACGTATATATATAATATATATATATTTAAATGTATGTATGAATACAAATATATATATATATATATATATATATATATATATATATATATACATATATGTATGTATGAATACGAAAGCAGCAGCGTCAGCTACGAACAGTGGGATAGAAGATGGAAAGACGCAAAAAAGAGAATTGAAGGTATGATTGGATTGGACGGACGGACGTATGAAATGGCAGAGGGACAAGCAAACCGATTAGACGCCATCTTGGATTTTCTATAAAAATGTAGATACATATGTATATATGTATGTAAGTACGTAGGTTTGTATTTTGTATTTAATTTGATATGCATATAAACATACATAGAAATATGTTTACGTATGTACAATATTTTATATAAATAATTACATACATACTAAACATACTGATATACAGATGTATGTAAAAATGCACCTATAGGTATACAATTAAATACAATATTTAATATGTACCTATGATGTACATAAGTATGTAAGTATAACCAGATAAATCCGAAAAATCAATTGTGTATGTATTTCACCTTTGTGCAAGCTTTGTATGTATACATACATTTGAACATATGTATTGTGCATAAAGTTTCATTTATATATACATACATATGTATTTAGGTACATATGTATTACATACAAACTCTATATATACAATATCAGTAAACGAAATTACGGTACCATATGTATATATCTGCATATAGAATAAGTTTTAGTATGTATATATACAAATATATGCAAGTAAATGTATCCAGATATTTATGTATATATATATGTATGTATATGCACATATGTACATATATATATCCAAATATCTGAAAATACATTTATACTCTTTTCATGCTTTAGTATATACATAAGTATTATTTATATCTATTAACAAAATTGGATGTATTATGGATGTAGGATGGATAAAAATTTGATGAAAAAAGTTCATTAATTTTATTTTTTACATCATTAACTAATTAACAACAACAATATGCTCAGTTTGTGACGTTGATATATTTTTCTCATATTGGAATATACAAATTTTGTCATCTCGGCACAAAGGCAAAAAGGAAGCGCGTCTCTAAGCGGTACAGTCAAACATGATGGTGGTGGTTTCTGTCGTGCGATTCTAACAATGAAGCCAAGTTTTCCTGCATTTTGGGGAGAACTATGGACATACAAACATGTGTCTGTATGTACATATATAAATATTTATATCTGATTTACGTGCTAACATACATATAGGTATGTCCCTATTCATTTTAAATAGGGATGCGATGATCCTGTTTTTATGCACAAACATTATAGTTTACATATATATCAATGAATTTAAAATATCCACCGATTTCAAACAATAAATGTCCATATTAAAAATTTCAACAAATAGAAATAAAACAGTAAGTGCAAAAATACCCGCAATTGGTTAATGAAGTTTCTACAAACTACAATTAAAAATTAAAAAACTAATCTGATAACTTAAATAAATATGCAGATTAACAAGAACTTTTTGAAAAAGTATAGGTTGCATCCGGTGCGATTAACTTTTTAAAGATTGTTACATTAAATTAAGTTTCGTTGTGATTTACACAAAAGCAAAAAACTTCAGAATTATGATTAATACAACTTTTTGCTGATCAGTTCTCGCAAGTAATTAGCCAGATTATAAATCATATTGATAAGTTAAAAATGAATATCAAAAAATCAGCAATGGAACACCAAATTCGAATAAATAAAACATCAGAAACTATTGCTTCAAACGAGGCGAATGCCTTTCAAATTATAATACGCTGCGCGTAGGGATGTCTGATATGATCTCTCAATAGCTTGGCAAAGTTGTCGAGCTTTTTTCTCAATTACGCAAAAATATATGTATTATAATATTAGAATTATAATATAGAAAAGCTCCATGAAAAGTAATTATATCAGGTGGATTTATAACTTATTTTTTACCACTTTCTTATAGGCACCAAATCGTGTGCTAATCTACACGGTAAGAAACGTGTGAATAGAATATCTGACTATATATGTAAGTACATCTAGAAATCTTATCCTCAGCAAATACAGGATATATTTTCACAAGAATTTTTTATTATAGAAATAAATAAAATATACATAGAGTATGTCCACGTATTTTTACATATGTACATATGCCCACAGAAATACATATGTATAGGGATTTGTAAAACACAAGTATTTTGCTACATAAAGCATTCATGCCGTACTAATTTTGAACAAATACATGCTCATGGATGACTGTGTAAGTCGTTATTTTAGTTACACTACCCTACAAGCCGACAGCTTGTATGTACCCCAGCACCCCCTCCTTTGTGAACACTTGCCGCTTTTCCCACTCGCTCTTTATTCGACATTTTCATGGTGTTCGCCGAAATTTTTACCTAAAGCGTTGCTGTGGTGAAACATTAAAGCACGGAAATTGGACAAGAGTAATTGAGGCAGGTAATAAGAATTGCACAAATCATAAACAAATATTATACATAAAACACAGCCTCGCACGAACGAATCAGGGCTCGTAGACGTTTATGATCAAAATGTAAATACAAACACTATTGTTGTACGGAGGAGTACTCGTTGCCAACTTATGATACTAACTACTTACTGCAGACATCAGAATGGCGCGAGAGAGCGTAATCAACTTGTCAAACCAATATAACTAGTAATAACTAGGGTTGCTGCTGCATTGCGATATGAGCTCTTGATTACAATAATGTTGAGACAAAGGTAAAAAGCAACTTCATTTTCGGAACGGCTTATATTTTAATTTAGGACTTGAAAGAATAGTTGTTATTAAGTCCATATGCACTTTTTTCTTTTCGTCCATGAAGGTCTCGTCATTTGTGGATAAGATGTCAAGATGTCAAGACACATCAACAGTTCGACTAACTCGGACAAAAATTACTTTAAAAGTCTACTTTATTTTTTTAAATAGCCAATTTATCTTTCTTAAAACAAAATCTAAAGGAAAAGCGAATTTTACACCTATTCTAATCGTAGGGTAACAATACTATTGTCCCACAGCGTCGGTTCCAAGGGAAATAATATTGAATGGCTTGCTCTCGCCGGTCACCGTTTGCACTGTTATCTAGCGTGTTCATATTGCATGTGCTTCATAAGTACGCACTTATTTTCTGTTGAGTATCATCACCATCAGATACAAAATGATTTATAAACACATGAAACTCCTACAATAATACCAATGACAGCTGGTTCAAATTGGCTTTTCCGCTCGCAACAGATTTAGGTTTGAGAGCGCTCTTTAGATGCGACATCGTCCATGGCTAAGCGAGAGCAAACAAAACGTTTTCAAGTCTACTAGGTATAAAGCAGAATGTCAAATAGGCAAAATTGTGTGAGAAAATTGTAAACAAAACAAAGTAGAAGATTGTGGTGTTCCTTTCGCCGCTGGTACTGTTGCTGCTTATGAAATCGGAGCAGCTTGTGGCGCGCTGTTAAACTAGTAATGGTACGAAAATGTAAATACATACCGAGTGTTTGTACTTACTATACATACATATATATTTTCATGTATGCTGACAAGACTGATATTCGCAGGGCCATGTGAGTGTTTTGGCTACTGTGAATATTGTATAGTACAATAATCTTGAAGCGGCTATAAAGGATTAAATTAATAAGCATACATATGTATATACAAATAGAAAGTACACATCAAATTGTATTTAAAATCCACATCTGTTTAAAACCATTGTTACTAGCTTTTTTCCAATATACATACATACATACATAGTCTAGTCTATAACTTCTTTTCGTATTAAATTTCATTAAATACTCATGTAGAATGTACATATGTACATGCATATGTATATACTATGTCATGTCATACAATGGTACATACATGCATACATTCCTGCATACGTACAATAAAAGTTCCATTAAGTTCATTGAACGGATAGGAGAATGTTTTTCGTTCATAAATCGATAGTTTATCAGATACTATGGAAATTTGAAATTCTGGTCCTTAAGAAATTAGATTATAAGCAAAACTGTTGTCTAATTATTACGGTACTATAGTAGGTATATAATATATATATGCTGTGTACCCAAAAAGTATCAAGTAAGTGTACATCTGTATGTATATACCTGCGCATATACGTACAAACGTACATACTATAAATGTTATGGGTTTCCATCTAGACGTGTAAAATGCGAAATCATTGTAAAAATCAGTTTATTTTTTTAATAAAAAAGAAGAAGAAATTATTGGCTTTTAATTAGGCAATTATTATGTATAGATATATACTGCTTATATGATTTAAACTAAAGTTTTGTTAACGTTATTTTTTTTTTAAATTTCGCAAATTTCCGCAGATCACTCATTTTTTAATTCCATAATTCCTGCGACAATGCAAAATTTAAAATATATTAAGAAACAGTTAAAATAGTACAAGTCCTATATACTTCTATTAATTATTCAAGATTTTTTAACTAAGAATGTAAAAATTGTTGTTGCGATCAGTAGAAAATCTTTGTAACACTAAACTTATCTTTTTCAAAGTTTAATTATGGTGTCCATGACGTAATCAAAAGACACTTAACCCTACTTTAAACAAGCTCTCTGGCATAACTTTCATAACAAGCATATGTATGAGTCTATCACATTTTTTCTAGTATATATTACTTTTCTAATTCCGTTCTTGATTTGTTTGTAAGGTAAACTATTGTTGCTTGAAGAAAAAAAAAAAACAAAAAGCAATATTTTATGCGTTTCTGAACAGGACGAAGACATTGCATTCCATCCGTTAATAATTGTGGTTAGTATATACCTCACCTAAATTCCTTAAATTTACAAGAGTTATCTGCCCATTTTTATTATAAACGCAATTTGATAAATAATTGTATATGTTTGTGTCAGCTATCTATTCGTTCGTTTGTTTCAATATATGATGTACATACGGCCATATAAAATATTCAAATAAACGTTTTTAAAATGCTCAAAAAAACCAACTAATTTGCAGCTTTTTTAAGACATTTTTGGAAAACAATTTTCTACATGAGATAAACTTAACTTTTTTAATTTTGGCTTTGCGTTGGATAAAATAATAAAAAGTTTCAGAGTAATTAAGCACTGAAACAAGCAAACATGTTTTTCTTTTCTTCTTACAAAACAACTACAAAGATGAGTAACATTATGATCTATAAAAAATTATCTACTGCTTTAGACTGCATTAGTTTTTATCGTACTTTTTCGATGTTATATACAGACAAATCATTTAAAATACAAAAGAAATCAGAAGCTTTCATTTAAGCGTAAATACATTGGAAAAAAAAGTAATAATGTCTGGGAAATTTGACAAACTTGACATAGTCTCCTTCAGGAAGCATTTAAACTAACGCACTAAGCACTGCTCCTCGATTTTTAATACTCGTAAAAACTAAAAAATAGGTAGAATATTGTTGCAACACATTTGATACCACTTCTATAAAAGGGCTTAATATGTAAGCATGCATGACTGGTGATCGTTAAAATTTATTCTTAATTGCTTTTAAAAACTAAGATATTATCATGAATTATATAGTACTTACTTTTTGATCATCAAATATATGTTTGACACTAAGCAATTAATTGCAGGTTTTTAAGAAGAAACAATCTTATGGTTATTCGTCGTCCTCTTCTTCTAAGTTAAAAGATAATTTGTTTGCTTGTTTTTCTCTCTTCTTTTTAATTGATTTTAAATCCTCCTTATTTGTTTTGTTTGGCTGAGAGGTATTGGTACCGTTGCTATTAGATTTGGAGCTGCTTGTATTTGCCAATGTTTCCGTATTTCTGCACTTTTCTTTACGCTTGTGAAATACTATTGGCTTGCTAAGATCGGCTCGTGCCTCTGCTGCTTCTATATAAATAAAAGTTAGTGTAATTAATTATAATCTAAAATTAATTATATAAAGCTGGTAACCAAAGAAACTCTGCTGTTTACGTTAACAAATAGTCGTTTTAAGGTAAACACTAAGAAAAAGATAACAATACCAAGTATGGGTTTTCCTTGGATTCTGACTATTCACCTAACTTAATATTAAGCTTAATGATAGTTAAATAGTGATATCCACAATTCAGTTATGATAAAACAAAAAGTTTACTTTTCCTGTATAAATATTTTTTTTCTCTATTCCCATCTATTTGATCGGTTTCCCCTTAATCCTTTGACAGTTTCATCTCACAAATGGACATTTAAGGTAAGTATCAAAATCGTCGGCCTATATAGTTTAGATTTATCGTGATAGCCTTCAGCCTGCCAACCCGCCACCACCATCCACTCTTGGCACTATATACTAATACCTCAACCCGCTCATCGCTTGCCACATTCAACGCTCCAAATTCTATTTATTACTGGCTTGGACGAAACCACTTGCCATTCTCTTTTCCTCTTTCATTTACTCTGTTTTTCACTTCTTTATTCATTAACTTTGCTTTTCGCACAGCGGTTGGTTCTTCTTTTTCCTTCCAACGTCTCATTGCCCCTTAGCTACAACGTCAATTGATACTAGGCAGCTGTTGCCTGCTTCATCAATTCCTCTTTCACACATTTTTTATCGGTCCGTCTGTTTTAGCGGAGCCCCAGCATTTTCTTTAAACGTGTGTGTGTATCACCGCATTGAGGGTGCTCCGCTGGCATTAAACTTGCAGCAGTGGTGTGGAGGTGTCTTAAATTGATGTGCAGCATTGCTTGCAGCCTTGATAGCTATGCAGGCGAACATTAAGAAAACGGATGACTACCGAGGCGTGGCTGGGTAAAAAATGTGCGGGAGGCGGTGGCATGAGACGCCAAGTAAAATGGGGCTCCTCTGGGCCAAATTATAGGTTATGTACATTTTACCGAGGACATTGCGCATTTGAGAGAAGTGATGAAAATTAATGTATCACTATATACATACATATGAGTGAATACTATTTAAAAATATGTTAATTTTTGTTTGCCGCTTTTTAATTTCTTTCTAATACACCAAAATACATCACTTTATGTATGTACATATGTCATCAAACATTCAAGTATTTTGAAAAGAAAAACACATCCTTATAGCAACTATATATATACATAAATTTAATTTTTTACCGAACACATTTAAGAAAAATTTATTTTCTTTCAAATACCTCTCGGTTTTCTCCACTTTTTGTTAAATTAAATTTTGCAGTTGGCGAAAATGAAGAAAAAGCGTGGATGAAACTGTTAAAGCAAAGAAAACGACACAACGCTCGACTCTGACTCAACTGAACTGAATAAACTGACAGCTAAAATTGACAAATAGAAGCCAGTCAGGCAACACTACTAGCATAAGCAGAAAAACAAGAGAAAAGGTATATAAAAACAACTTTAATAATAAACGGAGCGGACGGAGTTTATAACGCGGGGGAACGATGTATGACTTTTTTAAGTATATATATATACATATATATATTCAGACATATATATATATATATATATATCCTTATAACTTTTTTAATGACAAAAGTTTGATGGTATATATACATACACGTACTTCACCAGCACCCTCGAGATTATGAACTGCTTTCAAAAATAAATGTACCTTTTGCAATTCGCGCTTCTTCCAACCCGACTTCTTCAGCGTTCAAATCTCCTTTTTGTAAAACAACGATTTGGGGTTTTTCTTCTTCGCGATCTGGTCGTCCTTCACTATCTGAACTATTATCTTCGAAATCTACTCTTTGACGCTGTAAGTTACTAAGTTATTTTAAGGTTTTAATACAGCATGCCAATTTTTACCTTCGCCTCAATAGTTGGCCCCTCTTTATAACCGATTTGTGATTTTAACTTGGCTAGAAAACTAGGATCTTGTGGTTTAACATACGATATATTGCGCTTCCCAGACATAATTAGCAGACGCTTCGTACCAATATTTACCCGCCCTGCTAAGCAGTTCTTCAGACAATCTATTCTACATGAATGTTTCCAAAAATATGCTTGTGCGAAAATAATTTTACAGTGATAAAGTACCGAAACAAAACAAATATGCTACAATCTTTACAACAAATATTATAAAATAGACGGAAATTTCACTTTACACGCTCACGTTTTGCGGCTAATTTCTTGACGTTTCTCACTCATGATCTTTCAACAGGGTGGACAATCTGATAAGCAAAGAATTTTTCATTTAAACTTTACAAAAGTTTAGATACATTCATATAAGCAACAAATGAAATAAAATAAATATTGCTATAAAACATAAAAAACTATTGATTTCATTGAAAATAATACCTTTTTGAGTAAAATTTTTTATTTTGTTTTCACAGTTTTGTAGATTTATCACTTCTTCTATTCCAGCTTCCCAGCAATACAGCAACTCTACGGAAGCGTCCAATAAGGAAAACGTCTGAAAAACCAATCCTATGCCAAAGCATGCCAAACAAAAGAAAAGAAACTAAAACATGAATGCATTTGCTGAAATATCCTTAGACTGAGCTTACACTCAGAAACATTTGCTGATCATATGGGCAACTTCTCTAGGTGTCGCACATAGTGTTCACTAATTTTCTAATTTTTAACAATTATAATATGTATTCACATTTACATATATAAATTACTGATATATTAATTTAAATCGTATCATAATTGCAACTAATCAAAGATTGTATATGATTGTAAAGAGCGAATGAAAACACAACAAAAATTTCAGGGTAGAACGCTAATTAGAAAATTACTCTCTAAAAAGTAATAAATCTGTTAAGCCGCGCCGAAAGTACCTGAAATCGTGAAAAATTATTTATCACTTTGCATCTAAATGTAGATTAAAGAGATATACTTATTCCTAACGAAGCACAGCTGACGTCAAATTTGACATTTTGCCCAGAAAAAAATGGAATACCTTGTGCGATTATATCGAATATATGTTTTTGTAGATTCTGTTTTCGTCATGTAAAACATGGCAAACGAAAATCGAAAGCCAGTTTCCGCTTAAAACTACTTGAGAACTTACGTTCCAATCAATCTAAATGCAGCTCGCATCAGTTTGTTCGATATTTCTATCGAATTGGAAAGGCAAATTATATAATTTTAAAAGGAAGGAATTTGAAATAAATTTTAATTGAAAGCGCTTTTCAGATTTTTGCATTTCCACAAACTATATCAATCATTTGTAATAGAAGTATTAAGTTACAATTTTAAGAAGTCAATGCTATTTGTTTAAGATTCCATTTTATTACATCCAATATTATGAAATTTGAGCAATTGCTCTGGATTGATTCCTTCCTCTTAACGTTTTCATTATTTTACTTTTCTTGTAGAAACCCTGTAAAATAGGGTTCTGTTTCTCACTTGGTCAGCTCCCTAATATTCTAACGATCTTACCAAATACATCTCCATGATTACCCAAATCATTCGAGTTCGATCACTGGATCTCTAAATAAGAGTCACCAAATTTGTCATACAATTTCTTAATTGTAAGCAATTTAATCAATGCCTGTTTATTATTCAATAAATAACAATTCTTTATACTTTTAACACTCTATTATCATGCTTTTTAAGCTTATCAAGTTCAGCATTAACCGCATTAGATATCGTTGCTATTAAATACCTTCCTTATTATTATTTTTTTTAATTTTTGGAAATAACCAAAAATTACAAGGTACTACATCAGACTCGTTACTCGTTACTCGTTACTGTTGGGCTCCCTACCATGGACTGCCGTTTGGTTTCTCTACTTATGAACCAAGATTCGTCACCAGGTAGCGGCTTTACTAAACTAGTTATGCTGACCATTTTCGATTTTATTTGGGAAAAATTGAACAATATCCACTCGAGTCTCTTTCTGGGCCTCATTCAAAATTCGTGGTACCCATCGAGCAGATTTCTTCGTGTATCCCAAATGATTACTTAACATTCGCGATACAGACATGGAATTCAAGGCTAATTTATTAGCCATCATTTCTTTTGCCATTCGTGGGTCTTCGTCAATTTTGGACTTCACCAGGCGTCATCAGTGGAAGAGTTTTGTCGACCTTCTCGGTTCTCGTCCTCTACGCAAAGCTGACGGGTCTGGAATCTTCGGAACCACTTAGAAATAGTATTTAAGGACGGTTCAATCGTTTTATATCAAATTTGGCACTCACTGAATATTTGTCACATGGAGAATTTCTGTTTGCGTTGGTGGTGCAATTTCATCTGACCTATGCTCAGCTATCTGGCGTTTTCTCGTCTCCATTCTAGTCGATCGTTCTAAAACGATTTGTACTAAAAAACTAAAAAAGTAATTGCAAAGGATTTGGTAGTTTTAGACTTAACAAAAGGAAATTGAAAGTCACTAACTAACCGAACTTTTGTTAATCCCCTCGTATATCTAAGTAGAAAAATCGTATCTTTTGATGAAAAGCCTTTTTGCTAACAAAAAATTGAACAAAACCCACATTTATATGTTTGTATTTTAATAATTCGCGATGTACATATTAAAAAAAATATTTTGTTCACTGTTCCTGTATAAGATCTCATAAACATTCTCCACAAAACGATGGCCGGCGGTGGAGAAGATATCTCTGACCCGAATCATCTGAAATACGATGGTACAGCAAAAATTTTGATTATAGACAAAAAGGAGGCTCCCATAAAGACAAATCGATTATTTCAAGTAACTATACACTTTATATTGCTCCCGGGCTGCGTTCGGAGCAACATTCAAACGGTTGGAAATCTTTTTACAAATACACTAGTTTCTTTGAACTTACGAGCCCTGACCACTATTAATTCGCACGGCCAATGTTTTTACGCATATGCAATGTTTAGCACACAATACGAGTATATGTGAAGATAATGCAGATAACATATACAAACAAATATTTTTCTGAAAGATAATTTTATTCTCTATATGATAGAAAAAAAATTTTGTTGTTATTTAACGTACAACAACAACAGCATTTATTTAAATACACTATTCTTATTATTATTTACAAACGCTTGACCACTCTTATTTCGTACGCTACAAACTTTACAGTCTATTTGGCTTAATATAATATATATACTTAATATTACGAGTAATACTTGGTAACACCACCCTTATCCTCTATAACACATTTACAACGATCCTGCATTGAATTAAGCAGGTATTGGCACTGCTCTGTTGAAATAGAGTCCCATGTTTCTTGCATGCTGTTGTTGTTCTACGCTAAACAACAACAAAAAATATTCAAATAGAGAATAATATTATCTTTCAGAAAAATATATGTTTGTATGTGTTGTCTGCATTATCTTCACATATACTCGTACTGTGTGCTAAACATTGCATATGCGTAAAAACACCAGCCGTGCGAATTAATAGTGGTCAGGGCTCGTATATGGCTGGCGATATAAGAAAATTCCAGACATATCTCGTGGTATTGGTTTAAACTTTTTTGTTGCACCGATCCTGACCGAATCAATCTTCCTATTGGAGTTTGCACGAGGACACAGGTATTCTCTGTTTCCTTGTTAAATTATATTTGATGAGCACTGGTTATCTAATGAAGCTCGGATATTTCTTATTTCAATTATGCGAGATTTTTAATTAAAATTTGTATTATATGACCGATCACGTTGTGGTGAAATTTCCAGAAGTATGAAGTATGAAAATAGTTTATTCGATGAGTTTGCTGTAAGAGTTAACGACGGCAATTACCGCTGTCAACCCGTATGGATGAGCAACATATCAGCCAAGGTAGCATCGGAAAAGGGCTACATCAAATGGTTTAAAGGTATTTTTCTACTACAAAATCTATCAAATGCAACTTGCTTTTTCTGTGACAATGGAAATATGATTATTCATTTTATTAAATCTTAGCCGAGATGGCAAAGCCGTTAGCCCAATTATGGATGAGTGGAGGAAGGCGTAAGCCCTACAAAGCTTTTGAAAATCAAAGCTTAACAAAGCCTTTATGGGATTACGGTCCATCTGTATGATTGCCTCTCTCGCTCAGCATAAAAAATTGAGCTAAATTTATGGACTAACAGAATACAATACTCGGAATGTCAGCGGGCCAAATAAGATAGTGCGGACGAACGCAGTTAGATTGTTAAGCAAAATTTGTATATTATTGAAAATTAAATTACTTAGTGCAAATATATTTTCATTATATCATATACATAAATGCGAATATGCAAAATGTTTACCAAATAAATAAGAAAATCACTTTAAGGAATTGTGGGCAGATTGTGAGAATATGAATATGAAATAATTGGTTGGATAACAGGTAAGCTGACAAATAGTTCATGCTCTATGCCTTTCCGGCGAAACACTCTATTATAATATTTAGAAGAATTATTGGTTCAACGACTAAAGATGATACCATACGAATACTTTTAAAACGAAAATGTGTAATTTGTGGTAGCATTTTCGTAAAATAAATTTCATGGCAAATTAAATTCCTTTACATGCAAAAAAGCAACATTTCAGTATCTCAAGCCGCTCTTGCTGCTGCGCATGTCACAACCAAGCTGCTTCATTCTGCCTCCCTCATTTATAGTTACTTTTTGCTGTGCTGGGGAGCTTTTTTGTTGCAAGGTCTTGCTGAGTGCTGGTAGAGGCCACATCTTGAAAGAGAATCTGACGAAACATATTTTGTAGAAAAAAATTGTGTTAATTTTTGCCAATAGAACTAATAAACATTAAATATTTTTCTATTTTCTTTACCTATAGCATCTTTTCAGCAAAAAAAAAAGAAAGACACACACACACACATACAAAAAACAAAACAAAGCTAAAATTATTGGTTTCATATCCTGTAAATGGCTGCAGTGGTGCACGGTTGTGGTAGTTCAAGCCCGCGTCAACATCATGGCAGCAATATTTCCTGCGCCAGTCTAGCTCATCGCTCACAGCATTTGCCATCCACGCCTATGTACGCGTCAAGTAATAAGATGCCGAAATATACGCGTTCAAACGCGTCGCTGAACAAGCATCATCATTTGTACGGAGTTGGAGTTGGCAGTGTGGACCGAGGAGTTGGGGTGTGTGGTAATGTCGGTACACTCAGTAACTCTTTGAGCCTCACCACACACCAGGCACAATCCTTCAATTCCTCTCTGACACCTGTCACGTATTTGGGTGTTGGTGGTGGCAGCGGCGCCGGTGACAGCGGTGGTGGCGTCGGTAGTGGAGTAGGTGTTAGTAATAGTGGAGGTGTACATCAGCATTCTTACTCGGTCGGACAATCAGCTGTTACTGCCGACTCATGCCGTAACTATTGGGGCCATCCGAGCCTCTATCGCGGTGGGCGTCATCACAATAAACGCAAATCGGCTGTAGAATTATTGGCTGAGACGAAGCCATTTTTCATAAAATCCGATACGGTTATGGAGCGGTTACATCAATCGAGTTATCGTGCTGCAACAATCGCAAGTGCTGGGAAACGTGGTCGCAGCAGCATGGATGGACGTGATGAATTGTCTGGTGTTGGACGTTATAAGCCACCATGTTATGCCACCGAGTTGGTTGACACTCATGAAACGCGTGCAGAACATCGTTTCAGTGTGCCAAATACTGGCGTTTCCAGCGCGCTACATCAAAGTAGCCGCTCCAGTGCGTATCAGCATCATCATCACCATCATGATCATCATTCACACATCGGCAGCAGCGCACGTCATAGTGCACCAAGCTCAAGTAGCTTGCTGCAGAATAAGGTACGAATGTTGTTGGCTGGTGGTAGTACTGGAGAAACGGCACGGGAACGCACAAATAGCGGTATCGGACGCAATTATCGTGGTGATGTTTTGCGAAAAATGGATTTTACGAGCAAGAACAGTGGCCGTAGCGGACTTGGCACAAAAGAGGTGGATAGTGTTCTCTTAAAAGTGAGATAGATATTAATTTTTCTTCTTTTTTTCATCTATACGTAGCTCACATCTGTCAGCTTTTCGATTGACGACGACACTGGCATACGATTACCTCCACCGTCGTTCCTTTCTCCGCAATCATTTGATAATATTTATAGTTATGGCGCTGAAAATAGCAGCGGTGATGAACCACTGGTGCTCACTGAGAACTATCGGCCCATTAGTCCCCCAGCTGAGTATGCAGCTGAATCGAACAAGAATGAGTCTCGCTCCCGGTATGTAATGGCTGCATTTTTGTATATGTATTAAGTTTTTTTTTTATAATTTTGCTCCATTTACAGTTACAACTATCAGCGCTCACATTCTCACTCCCATGAAATGTCCACCAATCCGAATTCCCAGTATAATATCAATAGCCACAAGTCATTACCTGATCTGCATTCTCAAATAAGTCGTCATTCGCCGCACAGTGAAATACTCAGCTGTTGCAGTCGGGGTAACCGTTCAATTAAGTCGGCCGGAGAGTCTTCGCTCAATCGTGACTCCGGCGGCTCTTCCGGTCATTATACGCATCGTAGTGAGCCCTGTTATCGTCAGCAACGTGATAGTATTGACCGCGATATGTACGCACAGGCTAGTAGTAAAAATTGTTGTCTTAATACAATACCCACACCAATGGAGTACCGACGGGATTCGGGTTCGTCAACACAGCATAGTGCCAATTCAAATGGCGCTGGGATTGGTTATGCTTCTCCCTCATATTTGCGATCAGGTATTGGTGATTGTGTGGAGTGCCGATGTAAAAGTGGTGGTGGTGGTGGTGGTGGTGTTGTAGGAAGCAGTGGTATAGGACGTTTCGAATCAGATGATTATTTCTTCAATTTTACGACACCCGAAGTGCCGGAAGCATTTCAGGATGACTATACACCACCTTCACCCTCAGTGCCACATTATGATATGGATGAGTCACGCTTCTCAAATATACCAAGCTTCCAAACTATGCAGCTTCATCAACAACAACAATTACAGGCTCGTGATCAAGATCAGCAACAACTATTCAGCACTTCTGTTTACAGTAGCGGCAGTTTAAAATCACCTAAGAGTTCGGCAGCTCAAAGTCCCGGCTCGGCACCTTCAATCGAGGACATAAGTCCACCACCAATACAATTTAAGCGCCAACGTTGCATACGCTTCAAGAGCCGGAATCGAATTTCACTGCCAAATGCACCGTCGCTACCGAACAGTATTGCTGCGCAAAGTGCAGAACGAGTTGAACCATACCAAGGTGAAGTTGAGCGGCATACATATTTCTTTCCAAAGTGTTTTTCTACAGACACATATACCTCATCTGGCAAAAATTATGTAGAGCCCCTAACCCAATCGACATCAACAGTGGACTTGAATGGAAGTAAATCAAGCGAGCGCGAGCACTCATCATCAATCGTACTTGACCTACCCAGTGCGGATGGAAATTTTGAGGAGTTGGAGAAATTTTTTGATCGCCTCGGCTTAAATGACGAGATGTTCCATGAGATATATAGTGTGCCGAGGCGACGCAAGAGTGTAGACACGGACTCGGAAGGATCTAGCACAGTTTTCTTCTCGGATGTAAGCACCGTGGATTCAATGCGTCTTCCAGACAGCACCGAAACCCAACCGCAAACCACACAACCATATCGACCCTCGGAGCCACCTTCAATTGTTGAGCGCAATGCTCGTATTATAAAGTGGTTATGTAATTGCCGAAAGTTACAATATGTTTAAGGGATTGATAAAATAACTGCATACATATATGCTATATCCACTATGTACCGCGGAATTATCAAAACGGAATATATAAAAGGCTGCAAGGGATTGGTAGGTGTACTCAAAAACGATACAGATGTACTGGTTTGGCAATAATTACTTGTGTTTTCTGATAATGTGCAATAAAAGGAATTAATAAGATCGCTTATGTTTTTGTATAAAGCATTGATTTCCAGTTTTCAGAACACTTTGCGATAGCTAGCTGGACTCGGCTTTAAACAAAAATGTTGTTATAGATGTACTTCTCGGACAAAGGTGGTCATTACTGAGTTAATCCATTCTATTTAGTATATGGCTCAAATAATGGCGGTACTTCGGAGCCGTGTGGCGACTATTATTAGTTTTTTGGTCAAGTTTCTCCCTTTGGTACAAATGGACGGACCTACAGCTTATGCTAAGTCACCTCCAAACGGCCGATGGATTTTTATGAGGAGTCAGAAATACACTCACAGGGGCTGACATTCCCTGCCAAGAGGTGACCGCCATTACAAAAATTAATTTAATATTTTTTTATTTTAATTAATTTTCTTTAATAACTGGATGTTGGTCGGACTGGGGCTCGAAACCAGGTCTCCCGGGTGGCAGTACGCAATGCTTTAGCTTTAATAAAATTACACAGAGAAGAGAGTGCAAAATGTCGATGTGCCTCTTAGAGTTCACCTCTTTAGGTCGAAACTCAATCAATATGGCTCTAGACAGCAGCTCATACATTTGGCTACGTTTTCCATTTTTAAAAAAATTTGGACAACAACAACGATGCTTTCAATTGTTAGCACGATACTCCTCATTTTGTTCTCTCAAGTGAGGCGAGCATGAACCGGAAGTAAAAATAAAGAAAAAGTATGCCTTTTGTTATGGACAACCCATTCTATCCGGTTCTAGTTCGATCCGGCTCTAGATACTGAGCAAAACGATTGTATAGAGATGCTCAAAAGCCAGATCCCAATCCATAAACACTGAGATTAAAAATAGCATACAAAAAAATAATCATGACCATAGTGATGAGAGCTAAATTTAAGTGTCTGAAGGATTTGGGCCGAATCTACTTTGCACAAGGGCAGCGCCCTTAATAAGTTTAAGTCCCAACTCCGATTAGTTGATATAATTTGGAAAAACCATTTTCACTACATCAAAGTTGATGGTTAACGAATTTTATTAATTTATAGTACTCTTTTCATAATAAGACGTGGATGAGACCAAAAACTGAACGAAAGTATAAGGAACGAGATCCTCGAAAAGAAACGCCAGATAAGTATACATAGATAAGGAAACGCTTACTTTTGATTTAAAGGCCCAGCGTGTCACGTATTTAAAGATCTTAGAAATATTTACTCGTGCACGTCGGTGCATAAGCAAATATATTATATGTGTGTACAAATGGTGTTCACATAAGATAATAAATAAGAATCCCGTAGTTAAGTGTCATAGAGATTAAAAAGGTACTAGTTTGCTACTAGATTTCATACGTAGCTCTGCAAAATCAAATACAAAATTAATTAACTCCTTATTATTATTAACGCCAATTTCAATTCACTAATTCCAAACGAGTAGCAGAAAGGGTTTTTTTTAGAATATTTCCATTAGTTCAGAGTTAACTAGTATTTTCTGTGTTCATTTTCTACTAGCCAAATCGTCAGCGGAAGCTTTTGTGCGCAAAGAGAGTTGGCCGACTAGTTGGGCTTACTTCACAAACTAGTTTCAAAGTAGTTTTTCATTATTCGATTCGTGATTTGCTCCCATTAGTAATGCTGAAATATAGGCGGCCGCGATAGCCCAGTGGTTAGCAATACGTACTGAAATTCGGAGGGCCAGGGTTCAAATCCTGGTACGGCCAACATCCAAAAGTTATAGAAAATTAATTTGATTGATAGTGTTCGGATAGACGAAGGTCATAGCTAAAGTGTATTAGAAGTACGTACTCTGGGGTCCTATCATTGAAACGTCTTGTTGTAGGCATCCACCCCTCTATAGCCAAGAATGTGCCAATAAATACAAAGGCCATGTCAACGACCTGCTACCAAAACAAAGATCTAAATGGTTTTCTACTCGACATTTATTCTCGCTCTCTGAGAGCACTCAGCAACAACTCATTATATAGAAATCGAGAGTTAAAGATCATTTACCAGCTTAGTTGTACTACAAAAGAAACACCAACTTAAGACCTCCAATCGAAGACGATGGTCATCAAACAAACAGTCAGTGTACGTCGACATTAAAACAACGACAGCTTTGAAATCCAACAAGAATTTTTTTGGCTAGAAGGGGCTACTTTGGAATGGGAATGAGTGGTCGAATCACAAGCTATGCTTTCTATCGACGAGCATAAAACAAAATTTTCAAGTAGCTCGTCATTACTGCGAATTGAGGGACAGCAGCTACGCTGCCTAGGCTAAGTTTCCTGAATAGATAAACCAGCGTCAGATGGAGACGGAACTGGCCTCGCTTGGTGTTAACAATTGGCAACGAAAGCGATGGTTGTCGCGCTGTTGTATAGTCGCCTACTATCGCTTAAGCGGGGTCTGCGCCAAATAAGAAGAAACAACTGGACCGTTACGACATTGAAATTCTCGTACTCGTATTGCATTGGGGTAAATAAAAATAGCCTTGGCATACCCTGACTGAGAGCTATTAACATTGTCCACGGTCTCTTCCGCTAACAACTTCATACCGAGTAAATTAATTTGAATACCCCCCACCCACTTTTCGCATATAGATTTTCCATTTCCTACCGAAATACACAAATATTAACAGAAATTCGCAATGGTTTTAATGGCAGTGGACGAATATTGGAAATCATTTTTATGCCATCCGCCATCTGCTACCTGCGTCTGCGACCTGCCCTTTGATAACCAACGACGTTTTGCAATTTCAACAACACTGATGTGATTATCACTTTTTGATCCTTTCGTAATGGCCGATGCAGCGTAAACTTTAATTAGAGGACCAGGACTGCCAGCAATCAACGGTAGATGCAACAACATAAACAAAGCGAGTGTGATTTCGAAGAACTCGAGTATGAATAAGCATATGCATTTGCACACACACACTCATACACACCACACACGCGCACCCATATATATATACATGTATATACATGAAGCGAGTCAAAATGAAATTTCAGAGAAAGGATACATTTATTGCAGAACAATTTGGCGAATGCCACTCACACACGCATTTACACATTCTCAAACTAATATAATTTGCTGTTAATTTAAAAATATTTTATATCATTTTAGCATTGGAAATTGTGGCACATTCCAGGCTATATATTGTATATACGTGTATATATATACACGACAAATTTTATTCATATTATATATATGTACATCTGTAGCAGTGATATTATTTTGGAATTAATTTTCTTTAAACGTTTAATGAAGCAGAAGCTTACGAATTAAATTATATAAAATACTCGTAGACAGTGGTGTGGTCACTAACCTAAGAGACCACCGAGTAAACCTCCAGAGCCACCAAGTAAACCACCACCCGAACCACCCAATATGCCACCACCGCCGCCTCCAAGTGCGGGTTGCTGACCAGGTGACTGTCCACCACCTCCACCTAAAAGACCTCCCAGGGCGTTGCCAATTAATGGGAGTCCATTCAGGTTTAGCAGGCAACTAAGGAAGAAGAACGACAAATTATTGTTAATTAGAAGTTTTAAAAATAAATTTGTTTTAACAAGTTTTTTCCCAACTCACCGTAAATCGAGACGTATCAAGTACTGACAAGCCCATTGGCGCATGCACTGGAGAAAGAAGAGACATACATAGGTACTATATAGATAAGTGGTGACAAAAAGTTACGGCAGAGGTGCAAATGTTCACTTAGTTGGGGATGTGAGATAGTAATTTGTGGGCCAAGAAATATCATGATCTTGATTGCTTCGCGCTACTATTTTTTTCCTCTTCGTACCAATCTCAAATTTTGGAGTTTTCATCAGGATATTTGATTTACTGTGTCGCAAACCGTTTAAAGTGCAGAAAGGAACACAGAAATTGAAAAGCCAACAAAAAATGAAATGCTTTGTAAGCTTCTTAATTTTAGGTATTTATCAAGCAGATAAATGTAAATCCGGGCACCCGAAATCTTCAGTGGTTTCGTAAACAATCCTAGTGGCGCTCTTGTGCAATAGCGAAAGTGAGTATATTTGGGGAATTCAGCATACGAAAATGTGTATATGAAAAAGATGGCAAAAATATAATGAACAGGAGTAAATTTAGAAAAGTTCGTTTCTAAAAATCTCAGAGCTGAGGACTAGCCCTAAATTGCAAAAGTAGTTGCTCTTCTCTTTGTATTTTTCCTCGTTAACTATCAGGCGATCTTATCTTATTTGTTCTTACCGCCATTAGCTCCTCACTGGGCTCGGGGCAAGTACCTCCAGGAGCCTGTGTAGATGGCCTTAGTGTAGTAGATGGAGCTTCCGCTGGTTTAATACCTGGTATACCCCATGGTAGTGCCGGCTAAAGGGGTATAATTTCTCATATTAAGCTAATTAAAATTGATTTATAAAAAAACTTACGTTGGTAGCACCAGCGCAAACCTAGAAAATTTAAAAATCTTTAGCTTTCACGCAACACTTAATTATTTTTTTAAAATACAACAGCTTACTTACCATCGCTACAGCGATGAGCACGAAGATACGTAAAATTGTTCGATTCATTTTTCAGCAGCTAGATTACTATTCCGTTACTTTCCAGTAATTATTCCGAGAACAAGTGCAATGCAGCTATTTATACCCTATAATTGTGTTGCATTTTGATACAGATCTACTTATTTAAATATATATGTATGTACGTTAAGCATGTATGTATAGGGTTTACTTTATTTAAATAAATTGTGTGTTCGCCTGTGTACATACTCGTACACGTACATACGCACAAGCAATAATTTTTTCGGCGCCATAAACGCAGCTGTTTTTGAGACTGACCTACAGCAAATAAAAATTTTTTGTGTGGTTCTACTTATCTAAAGCTTTATTCAAGCAAAATAAGGGCAATTCCTCCAGTTCAAAAGAAACAATATTCAACCTGGATTTAAATTATTTCAAGTTTTTTTTTTTTTTTTTTTCAAAATAAACTTTTGTAACTGTAAGCGATATCTGCGAATGGTGATGCATAAAACTATGAGTAAATAAATCGTGAATTTTTTTTGAACAACCTTCATATAAGCGAGATGTCTTCCGATTACTGCTGGAAATTGTGTGAAATGTATTCAGTGGTGAGCTGTTACGAGGTCACTTTTTACAGGTTGGATCCTTAGTGGCCTACGAAATTATTTTCTTCTCTTCACGATCATTGCCCGGCGCTCTCGAATATTATAAGTGCCTACGCTCCAGTCTTATCATAAGCCACATAGTCATATGTAAAGATTCCTGAGAGCCCTCACTCCTTTGATCGATGGAACATCGTTTTGCTCTGAGCTTCTCTCGGTTTTCTGCTGTCTATCTATATAAAATGTTTTATTTGAAATGAATGTTATATTTGCAACTATCTATTAAATTATATCACTTAATAAATATTTATATATGTATATACATTTATATTTACATATATAATTGGTGCTTTATAACCGTTGAAGCGATTATCGGCTGAGCTTCTCCTCCGATTTGCGGTACGCCACTTGATGTTCTTTCAACAAATGGAGAGACCTACAGTTTATTCTAAGTCGCCTACGAATGATGGATGGATTTTAATGAGCATTCGGAGTTGACATTTTCTGCCCACGGGCGACCGCAATTAGAAAAATTAATTTTCTTACAGTTTTGTTAAAAAAATATTGATGATTTTATTGATATTTATTATTTTATTGAAAGTAAATTTATGAAAAGAAAAATATTTCCAATTATTTCTCAAATATTGTTTATTTTGGGTATAAATTTGGCAAGTCAAATGAAAGTAATGGGGTATTGACTTAAAAATTCACGCCTTAATTATCTGAGCGTCACGGGCAGGATACTTCACAGAAAAAAACCGGCAACACTGCCAAGGAGATTTTGGTCAACTTGCATAGACGATGTAATGATGCGAACGGTTGCAGCGGAATTTTCCATTCAATTTATGCAAAGAAAAAAAATGCAACATCGATGAAGTCGAAGAGGTAACCCTCACAGGACGGTTCAGAAATGAATGGGCAGATCCTTACCAAAAAGATTCCTTCAAGCACAAATTATACAAAAAAATACTTGAAGAAGAGCTGGAGGCTCTCATCATCTCTGAAGGTTAAACTGCAATTGAGGTCACTACCATTGCTTACTATGGCCAACAAAGAAAAAAAAAAAAAAATACAACTAAGGAATGAAATAACCTCAACAACTGCGTACACTTTCTTCTTCCAAAGACGGCCAGATTTACTCTAATTTTAAGTTGTATGTGCATCAACTAAGTACATTTTTATAAGCTCAAATAAAATTTAAACTTAATTATACGCTTGGATAGGTGTGAATGGGCGATTGAATGAAGGGCATGACTTGTATTTTTCCCGAAATGTTACGCGGGTGGCGGGCTGGGTTGAGCTTCTCTACCTGTTTTTAATTTTTTGGCTCGCAAGACAAAAGACACTTTCCAAACACGTTTAAAATGTGTTTTTTTTTTTGGGTTAGTTTTTTTTAATTTGTTTGTCTTTTGCCACTTTTGGCAATATTACTTTGTCTCTGCTGTTTGTTTGTCACATGGCCTGGGTAAAAGTGAGCGGTGTGGCAAAGGTGGCTCAGAGACAACGAAGAGAGGCGGGCAGAGAGAGAGAGTTGGGAGTTCCATTAAGTATTTTATTAGTATCGGCAGGATTCTAAAAAGAGCGCGAGAAAACAAAACTTCAGAAAACTTTGCAATTTAATCAATTAAAAAAGTTGAAAACGAACTTTACGCTTTATATTGGAATACATACGTATGCATGTACTTGTGCATATACAGTTTGACCCAAAATCACTGTAATTTCCCCACTTAAAATGATTTTAGTGCTATTTGTCCATACATGTGTATTCGTTGGTATTTGTTGAGTTGAAAACTTGGCTACACCTCCACTTAACTGAGTCTTTTCAGTTTGCTGCGTCAACCGTGAAAAGTTATTATTCCGGCTGGTTGCTAAGTTCTTCGCCTTTACCTGTTGGAATGCGAAATTCCAGGGTTTTCAATTCGACTTTTGTATGCAAAGCTATTTTGCATAATGTGTGTGTATGTACGAATACGTGTACATTGTATAGGGCTATTCATTACGTGGTTTCAAAAGTACCATACTTAACTGTCAAACCAAACATGTTTTATTTTAGTTTGAAGTCCGGCAATTATTCACATTTGTTGAAACCTACTACAACAATTATGGTTCAAATATGATGCACACAATCGGTCCACTCTCAAGCAAAGAAATTTGAAGAGACTGGATCAGGCCTGTGTTTCATTGTTTTGCTAGTTGCACCTCAAAGATCGCCATGTCTATTTCTCGACGTTCTCAGAAGCTCATATGACACATTATGGCATATTTTGCACTTGAAATATTATAACACTTCACTTAACAACTGAATGCAGCTGGCCATTCACAACGCCGTCTAATCGGAACGTTATGATTGCAATTTTCTGGGGCTACCCGAAAGACTGTGCTTATGCGGATACACCTTTAATTCTTGAGAACTGGAATACCAAAATTCATCAAATACTGGCTGAGGTACCGGCCAATAAGTCCCAAGAAGTGGACGAAAATAACCTCAGGTCATTTGAATGAAAAAACATCAAGACGCTTCCGACGTACCCGAAAATCGCTTAAACGGTTACAAAGCGCCACTTATAGTGTTGCATAATTCGTGCAAAGTTCTTGGAAACATTTCAAAAATGAAAATGTGTTTGTATGATAGTTTTTCCAAAATATAATAATATTTCTAATAGGTTTTTTTTTTCATATGTAACTATAATTAATCGTCCTTCTTTTTTTCATTCTTTTTTTGGTCCACGCTCTCCTTTGCCTCGTCATTTTTTGCCAAGGATTCTCTTTGGCTATAATCATTTTTGATCACATCGAAAGAGGCTATATCGCTTTCATCAGGCTGCGACTGCTTAGAGTCATTAGTTAGTTCCTTCTTAACAACTTCTGCGTTGGCGTCCTAAAAATGTAAATGCCGTAACTATCTTTATGTATTCAATGAGTTGACACATACCTCAGTCTTCTGAGTCAGTGCATCAGCTTCGTGAAAAGCTTCTGCCAAACCGGGATGTATCTCAGTTAAAGGTTGGTTGCCTTCACGTATGTAAACTGGGACATGTCCAGCACGGGGTGGTAGTTCTTGATAAGGGGCAGCACCTGAATTTAAAAAATTATTAAATAAATAATAGTGTCTGTGTTAAAACTGAAAGTTTTTATTTTTAATTTTTTATAATTGTTGGAGTCAAAACTAAAAGTTTATAGGGCTTTTTATAGTGTAGAAGACATCCAACAATAAACGATGTCACCAAAAAAGAATGAATGATGAAGAAGATAACACACTATTGGGCGAGAACCCACTCAATATCAAGCATAGCAAGGTCCTTCTTCACCTAATCTTTCGAAAGGAGTGAGTGGCGGTGTTCCTCTGCTTCCACTGGCGAGTATTGATATGCCAAAGCTGTAACATTCAAATCCGTTCGGTTCCCATCCCCTGGGCAGCGTAGCCGCTGCTTCTTGATTCGCTCAACTACATCAATGTCACCGTATATCTAATCATCCTACCATCAGCTGCGGTATTCGCGTTTGCCAACGTATAGAGGACCATTAATCTCTGTTTTAAAGGTCGGTAAGGCATATAAGGTCGAAGGCATATAAGACCCTCGTCTGGCCCGCTTATATCTTTGAAAATTGCCATTTTTACATATATGCATATACCCAAATGGCAGGAGGCAACAAGGTTTGTAGGCTCTAACACCCTGTAATGGGTACATATGTGCAAATAAATCGCGATTCGAGACAAAACTTCGTGTAGCGGATACAAATTGAGCTATGAATAATTTATATGTGTGTATGTATTTGTAAATAGTATACATAATAGTTATTATTCTTGCTGTTATTTTGTAAATATATAGAGATGTGTGCACATGTACGAGTATGCTCTCATGTTTGTATACGCACAGGTACTACATACATATACAACAAACGAAAAGTGATTGGCATCTTATTTGAGTAAATTAATAATTACGGAACTTTGATTTTCATACGCGAAACATTGATGAATTGGTCGCTTGGTTGCATCATTTGCTGCTTGATTACTTGTTTGTCTACCTTAATAAATACTCGTATGTATGTATGTACACAAATACATACTATAATAAAGTACAATGACTATTGTATGTATGCACGTACGAGTATGCTAGTCGCTTGGGGTATTTAATCTTAGCTAACCGATTATTTACAGTCAGTTAAACATGCGTATGTATGTGTATGCATATTAATCTTTTTGAAAATAATAACCAACCATAGCAAAACGAACAGTGGTACAGGCCAGCCGATAGAAGTAATCATTTAAGAGCGTATTTAGCGGAAACAGCTTTGGCTTGTCTAGAACACCTTCCATGCTGGCAAAAAAGTGTTCAAGGAATTGTATTTACTCAATATCTCGAACCGATATCTTGGTTAAGTGTAATAATAATCTGAGTAAGGCTCAAGGATCATCTTCTTCTGGGGGAGATGAAGGCAATTTTTGCTGGTTTTGAAAATATTTTTGTGCCGATACAAGTGCCTTTTATCACTGTAGAACGGCCATGAAGAACGAGTTAAATAGCGTTCCCCATTGGTGCATACGAGTATATGCGTGCCTAGATTTAATGAGCTGCAGAATTCATTTTATACTTGGAGGTTAGAAGTACATTCAATGAATTAAGGTTTGCCGAATCAGTTGAGCAAAGGGTACGAGTATAGACTTGGATATCCAGCGGCAATTCCGGGATCATTCAATTCATGAATAGTATTCGGAAGGCAAAACAAACACTGCAGATTTCGCCAATCTACTTAGTAAAAACTTCGTCCTATTATGTGGCGATATAGTTTCGTTTATCTTTAATGAAATAAGTTTTTCTTATGCTTCTTCTCCGCTAAGATATTTAAAGTCAACGCCAAATGAACGAAAGGAAGCCAAGCACAAGGTTGCTGGAAAAGGCAGCGTTTTTATGCTCGCTAACTGAGAGTATTTTAGGGTGATTAGGCTCATTAAGAACGTATCGTGAACAAGGACACAAGTTTACAACAAATACGAGGTCTCATTGTTATTAAGCAAATGAACCGAGCAGCATAACCGAGAAGGATAAGTGAAATAAGGAGTCCAATATCGTCTGATTAAAGTAATAAACATATTTTTATCACTGCAAAATAATCAACAGCAAAAAGTTTAATTTCAACAAGTAAGGAAAGCTTAGTTCGGGTCTAGCCAAATATTGGATATTCGGTTGTAGTTTATATTAACTCCTAGTAAGTATAATTCTAGACCGATGCCATTTACTTTTAGTAGGATTCTAGTCCAAATCAGGGGCAGGACACCTACGAAGTTCTGTTGAATTCTGTTCGTTAATACGTGAACTTCTGATAACAAAAAGTCCGATTTAGGGCACAAAGGGGTTGAGGTCGAATTGGGCCTCTTTTCAAATTAGTTCATAGGTTTTTGAGATATTTTTTTGACTCCAAAGTGCGCGATACCACGACCGTCCGAAATTGTTTTCCATTTGGTAAATATGACTTTACTTGCACATTTTACTACTGATTTATCGTAAATTTTATACTACATATATTACGGTTATAAGATGG